CCATATTTCTCACTTATATTTTTATAAATCATTACTAATAATTAAAAATGTTCCCATTTAATTCTCTCAATCATTTTAATTCATTTATTTGTTACCAAACATTCAACTACATTAAATATTTTATCCATCATTTTAATCATATTTTTAAAAATTATTTCTGTTTATAATATAACAATGCTATCTTATGTACCTTTGCAGAATCCCTTTTGCAATTAAATTTTCACCCATTATCTCTAAACAAGCTTATAGTTACAATCCTTATATCTTTTCCCTGTTTCTCCATTTCTTGTTTCTGTCTTTTACAACTTCTTTTCCTTGCCTTCTTCCCCCTCTTCTTCTCCCTCCCCTTTTTACCCCCTCGTCTCTCTACTTCTAACTCTCTCATCTGTAATCCCTCTTCTGTTGCTTTCTAATATTATACTTATCTTTCAAATTCTTCTTCTTCTTTTTGGTTCATGCTTCTTTCATGCTTTTCCTTGAGGCATTATGAAACTAGGGACATCAGGAGTGCCTTTGACATCTCACTGAAGTTAATGCAAAGCTTCATTTTTATTACAGGTCAGGATTATATCCTTTATAGCTTGATGCTATAAGCAATCCTGCCACAACATAAGGCTATCATGTAGAAAGTATATGATAAATTGTCCCCTTCAGCTCTAACACTTATTTGAGAAATTATTAATCACCATATTAACATCAGTTGCCCGATGGCATCAGAGTCATGAAATCCTGACTTCTGGGTCTTCAAAATACAGACAGCTTAGTTTCTTTGGACAAAAGAATGGATTCAATGTTAAGAAAAGAATACAGAGAATACAATAATTAGAATATATATAACATGTACTGTCACTGTAGGAGCTTCTAAGATCCATTGGGTCCACCTTGAATGTGCTAAAAGTATTTAGCTGATATATCATAATGAGTCGCTGTATAGGACAGGCCTATCTCAGTGCAATAAAAATCTCAGCCTAACAATAGAATTCTAAAAGTTACAAATTCTCCTAACTTTTCTGTCTCATGGGCTTTATTTCCCATTTCTGGAAGCAGATGTGTGCACAAGAAAGTTCTAAGCCTTCACATTACGGTAATCTTTCTAACAGTGGTTAAATTATTACCATTATATCAGTTCTCCAAAAAGGGCAAAATAATGAACATATAGTTCTCACATAATTTTTTCATTGTGATTTAAGTTGTTGAAAATTTTAGGGCACCCATTTTGTCCATTAATCTTCCATTCTTGAGTGTGGGTGGGTGGGTGTGGGTGTGGGTGGGTGGGTGTGGGTGGATGTGGTGTAAAATTTGATATATCCATTGGTGTAGGCTCCATGGATTGAAAAAGAGGTGTAGTTTTTTTTTCAAGCTGTGCATTTCTCATCCTTGATTTTGGAGTTTTTATCATACCCTTTTATTATGTTTAAGAGAATAGCAAAATCAATAAAACAGTATAACACTATCAAAATAATAATAAAAAAAACCCTCAACAAAGCACAGTCCTACATTTAGGTTTTTGAAAGTAAATTGTATTTATTTCACTTAGGCTTAATTTAAAGGCCTCTTCAGATGTTAGGAATCTGTATACTGAGCCCACCAATCATTCCTTGGGCTTTGGAGATCTGACATGGGTCCTTACTTGAATGTGAATACCGCTTCCTCCACAATGAGGAAACCTGCTTTATTGGGCCCCAGATCACAGGGAATGCTGCATTTGCATTCAAATAAATATGATTATAATTCCTTTTCAGAATTTGCAACTGAACATGTGAACTTTGGGGAGGGAAAGGACATTCTCAAGCCATTTTCAAGCATTCAGCTGAACTTTAAAAAATTAAAATGCGAGTCACAATGGAGGGGAAACCCAGATCACACAAATATAGCTAAAAGCAATTGCAATTAAGTTTTAATTGCTTTATGGTATCATTTTTCTCCATCAGTATAAATTGGGGCCTAATAATTTGTTATCTGTAGATTTTACATTAACTGGGGAGCATTAAGGGACGATTCTTGCAGTATGAAGGGTAGGCTTAAGCTACATTAGAATTGAGTCTGTTGTATAACTATTCCATTCTCTCTTCCTTCAGTTTTCTCTCTGTGCTTCTTTTCTACTGTATATCTATTGAACATATTCAGTCCTTATTGAGTTACTTTGGGATTATCTCTTATTTGTGTTTGTTTCCTACAAATGTTTTTTCTCCTTCAAATCTCAAGGTTCCCCCAGGTTTGCTTCTATCTATCCTGCATGTACTTTAATAAAGAAGGAAGATTTTTGATGGTGGAAACAATAATTAATCAAAAAAGATTTTGATAATAGCAATATATACACCAAATAATAAGCAACAAATTTTGTACCAATAATTACATAAGAAAATATTGGAAATGGAATATCCAAACATTTGTCATTTAGGACAGGGTTCGCCAACCTTTTGGACCTTGGGGACCACCAAACTCATTATTTTAAATCCCAGGGACCACTAGTGTGAATTTTGACTGATGTGGCTTGCTGCCATTGGTGAGAGGGAGAAGGAGAGAGAGACAGAGAGATCTGATCTAACCTCGGAGGGCTGGTGATGTTCTCTCTCTCTCTCTCTCTCTCTCTCACACACACACACACACACACACACACAAACACTCCAAGGCAGCCCCATTCCTAGCCTGCTTTGAGCTATGTTCTCAGAGGGAGGGGGGAAAGAGAGATCTAACCTTGAGGGCTGGTGATTTTCTTTCTCTTTCGCTCTCTCCCTCACACATCCCCACTCCTTCCAAGGCAGCCCCATTCCTAGCCTGCTTTTGAGCTCCATTCTCAGGCTGCGTGGAAGGAAAGCAGCAGAACTCTTTCTTTCTCTCCCCCCAAACTCTGCCAGAAATGAGTCTGCTGGTGCAGCCTCTTGGAGTAGGACGCCTTGCAGGGTCCCAAAGACTCATTTCTGGTGGAGTTTGGGGGAGAGAAAGAAGGACTTTTGCTGCTTTCCTTGCATGCAGCCAAAAGCAGAAGAAGAAAGAAGCAGAAGAAGCAACCCGGTGGCCAGGCAAGTTCCCTCCTCTTTCCCCTTTCCCCGCTCCCCTCACTACCTCATGTTGTTCCTAATGCAAGCAACACAAGCCTTGTGTTCCCACGGGCCATGTGGGTGGTGCAGCCTTGTGTTCCCCCACAGCCTGGGGGGGTGCTTTGGGGTGGCATTTCTCTGTGGACCACCAAAATTTTCTCGTGGACCACCAGTGGGCTGCAGCCCACCAGTTGGAGACCACTGTTTTAGGAGACTTTAATGCAATTGTGGATGAAACACTAGACTATAAAATCACTAAATTAGGAGGGAAAGGAAGAAAAAGATTACCTAAGATGGTTTTTTTAAAAACTTCTACCAGCAGATATATCCTGCATGTGATTTGCAGAAATGGGAGCTTCTTTGTTAACTAATGAGAGGACATGGCATAATGGAACAATTGAATGTGAAGTTTATTTCTTTAGAGATGCTCATGTAGATTCTTCATTTGTTGTCATGCAGCTGAGAATATTTACTGCCACCTATTTGATACTTAGGATATACTTGCACATGTCTCTTTCAGATAATTGGACGTTTAATACCTGTGGTGCCAGTGGATCACAAGGGCCTACTCAGACCCAGTGCAATGATATCTATAGGAGCACTAATATCAGCGTACTGGTAGGAACAGAGGAACATTTTCCTGGTGTACAAATATGGAGAGTTCCTGCAGCCAATATATACAGGTGAGCTTTCTTTTATTTACTTATTGAAACATTGATATCCTAGTCTTCAGCCCTAAAATGTTCCCAGACTGACTTAATAATATGAGCAAGACAGTTGCTACTCTAAGACACACACACACACACACGTGCGTGTGTGTGTATAAATATACAATAATATAAAACATGATGCATGTATACAATACCCATGCAGCTCTTGCAACATGGTAGCAAGTACAAGTACAAGAAGCAGAAGCAATCAGTACCACCAGAAATACCAGCACTGAAGGCCAGAAGCAGTATAATGCAGAGGCTATATTGCAAGGACAAAACAACTCTTATATGCAAATCAGTCAAACTAAGCCATGGCCAGGCTCCGAGATGTCTGGGTCACCAAACAGTCCCCATTGGCTGACTTGTTACCATATCTATTCCAATTCATGAACTCTTATCATAATGTATTAGTTTCTTACAACAGTTACTATGTTAAAAATGAGCTGGCAAAAAATCTGCAGAGCTTGATCTCTAAAATCTATTTTCACTAAACTTTGAAGCTTTAAAACATGAAAAAATGAAAAGATTAAGAAATTTCCCCATTGCCTTCAAGGGGCAGAACTGGATTTTATCAACTATTTCAGAGACTAGAAAGAAAGAAAAAATCCTTACTCCTGAAAAATGTAGGGTGAACTAATGACCGTAGATTTTATCTTTGGCCAGTTCCATTTAAAAGAGCTTAATTAGCCTGTTGTGCAGATCAGCCCATTTCTAAGAGGTATGATTAGCAATTACAATTGTAGCAGATATGAAATGGCATAAGGAACTCTCACATCTGTACTATAGTATGAGTAGAGCAGTAAAGCTATCATACTTTAAGGAGAGAATTGTGCAGAGTTAAATATGAAACGTCTAGTCTTATGGGAGTGGTAGCACAGTATCCAAGGATACCATAACACCTTTGGCAATTCCAAGAAATCTTTCTCATCCCATTATAATTAAATAAATATTTAAAGCTTATGGTGTAATCCAGTGCAAGAATTTAGGAGATGACCAAAATCTTGCAAGAACTTATTGAGAACTCCTCAAGGTTTTCTTTTGTAATATCTTTGTAGTTTTGTATAATTGTCTCCTTTTCTGTGTGTGTATTTATGGGGAGCAGGAGTTGTCAGATTTGCTATTTCACAACAGTTGATGACTTTTGGTTTAGAATTTCTAGATTTCAGTGAATAATGAAATTACCAAAGGGCTGCCAACCTGACTTAATCCAAAGTGCTGCACAGAAACCAATATGAAGTATAGAATTGTTATACAGTTGAGAAGCACAATTACAATGCTACTAAGTTCAACCCATTTGTAGGTTTAAAAAAATTGCCAAAAGAATCACGTTTGGCTGTTTCTGTAAAGAAATGAAAGCACTGCATTGTTTAAAAAACATTGGAAAAATTGAGAAGATTGGGGTAGGCAATGTGTGATTCAGTTTATTTCTTCCACATGAATTAATATAGTTGATCCAACCTACAATATAGGTTGATATATATATGAATTAATATAGTTGATCCAACCTACAATATTTTAACATTGCTTTTCTTTTTTCCAAAATATACATATTTGTTGTACACATATCATACAAAACATTTTTTGAAAATGCATTCTCAGTTGCAATGTATTTTCCATAACCATATGGTGTATTTTTGAGCTTCAAACTGTATCATCAAATTCTGAATTTTTAAGCTAAACTGTACAGAAAATGGAATCTTGCCTAACATCAAGGTTGCCAAGGAGTACCAAATGTTGCAAAGGGATCTGCACTGGGATGCAAGGAGTAAGATAATATTTTAATGGCACAATTTTACTTTTGTCATTTATTTGTCACCTCATAAAGCATTCCTGGCCTGCTCTTGAGTTGCCATAGTCAGGAGGGGGGGACTGACGGAGCAGCAGAGCAGCCACAACCAGAAGCACATTCCACGCATACCTTCTTCAAGGCTGTATCCCAGGTTACCGGGACCAACCAGAGCCCCCAAAAGTGCTATGTTGGAGAATGCGATTTATGACACACCCTGCGGGAGGGGGGAAACAGGGTCATAGGTGGACCGTAAATTACATGAGGCAGAGCTGACTTCATTTGGCTATGTGCCGACATGTTGCTCCTAATAAATAACTGGATTTCTTTTGAAACTTGGCTCAAGGCAGCGTGGTTTAATTAGGGCATCTGTCAGAACCCTGACATTATTAAATATCATTTTTATTAAGAATATTAATTACAATAGTAAAATTAATGCAAACTAAATATAGAGAAAGAGAAAAGAATGGAAAAAAGAGTGATAGTGCAGGAAAAAAGAAAAAGAAAAGAAAGAATATAATATAGAAAAAGAAAAGAATATATAAAGAAGTGGTTTCCAACCTTCATCGCAACAGGTATGAATAAATTCATACTCCAACAGATTACAAACAAATATCTTTTCATCCTGTATACATCCCTTATTTATAAGCAATTCCTTAAAACATTAACTTTTCAATTATTATGTCAAAATAAAGGGTTATCATGCCTTTGCAGAAAATGCCTTCAATCTTGATCAGCTAAACTAATTAAATATCCCTTAATAGTCTTACATTTCAATCAAATATTGTTGTAGGAATTGATATCCCTTCAATTCTTTATCCCATTGCACAGAATTCTTCAAAGCTTTAACGAATCTCTTTATTAGATTCAATATGGAAACATTTTCCATATCATTCTCTTGGTTTATCATTTGTATTTCCCTTGCAATTTTTAAAACTTCAACTAGGTTCTTATGCATATCCAGTAAATCATCCTTTTCCAAATCATTCCCATGAGCTTCTTCTACTTTTCAGATAAAATTTGCTCCTTATCTGTCATTCCTTCATTAACATATTTTAGATGTAGTCTAGCATTGAAGCAAACATCATTACTGACAGTGTTGATATTGCAGTTAGTAATTTCTTGTTCCATTCTTCAAAGATATCCTTTAATATTTTCACTGTTATAACATTTTGTGTTTTTTTTAATTCACAGTATAAACTGATATAAAAAATAGGCTTGTATTTTGTTTTCTGCTTAGAACCTTTAGTCCTCTCTAGCATCCAATTTCTAATATTATCACTTATCTTTGTTCTGATGTTGGATAGCCATAATAAATCTGTTTCTCAGTAGAAACTGTTTATTTTTAATAGCTAATTCCAACCTCTAATAATAAAAATCAATGTTCCATATTTATCTGGACCATTAATCCATATATAACTTTCTTAGATAAAAATCCTACTTAGTTTTCTGATATTTATTTCAAATTCTTTTTCTTAAGTTTACATTTAATTTTTCTTTTGTTCAGAGTTGAAAAAAAACTTACCAGATAGACTTTTCCAATACGGTATTTCAAAGGCCTCTAATAGTTGGTTGTAGGCAATTTTGGAAATGATTAGAAAATACAGCTTGTGAATGTATTGTCATTTAAAAGACTCATTGATGAGGAAGTTTGCTGATCATTTCAATACCCAGCACTCAAAATGTCCTGTGGTCTTCTCACGAACAGCAGTTGTCTAAACTTAGTACACATGGGTGATCTTTAATCCTCTTCTTATCCAGAGAGGTTCTAAAGAACTAGTCTGTTCATTGGAAATTCCTATGATTCCATTTTCCTGATTATTCTGAAGGGCTATTTCTGAATATTCTATGATAGATTAGATAGATGATAGATAGATAGATAGATAGATAGATAGATAGATAGATAGATAGATAGATAGATAGATAGATAGATAGGCAGGCAGGCAGGCAGGCAGGCAGGCAGGCAGGCAGGCAGGCAGGCAGGCAGGCAGGCAGGCAAAGAAAGCTCCCTGCAGTGCCCAGATTAGCCCATAGTAATTTAAACAGCTGAGACACAATTTGGTGAAATTGAGTAGAAAAAGTACCCAAATCTGCTCGCCTGTCCATTTTTAGGGAAATTGCTAGTAATGAAAAAAAAAAAATAGTGTTTCATTCAAAAGAATGACTTGACCATGGGAGAGCAGGTGAGAAGAATTTTTCAAGGCTAGCATGTAGTATGAGTGCATATAAAATATTGCCCTAATGTAAAAAGAGAAAAGTACTAAATTATATGTACAGAAGTCTCATTTATTTAATGTTAATGCTGTGGGAAGAAACAACAGTTAATAGTATCCCAAGGCTGATTTTATTCTTTAATACACTAACAAGTAGATCCAAACTTACAACTCATTAATATAATGTCTAGCTTTTTAAATGGGATGTTGTGCATTTTGTCTTTCATGTTTTAATGCTTAATTCTGCTTATTTTAGAGATATGCTAACATTCTCCCTATTGCAAGATATTTTAACCTGTTGCACAATACCAGACATAGAAGCTTATATAGAATATCATGGAAGCACTTTCCTTTGATTGACATCTCTGGCTAAGAGAAATTACTGCAATTGGCTTAGCGGAGTTGATCAGAACATTCCTTTGGGTCAATTTCCCTAGCAACTTATATTGTTTCTGTTGTTAGATCTTCAGTATTCTTGGCCCTGGTTCCATGAATGGTATCAGCTGAAGCTCTTTGGTCCCAAGACATCATGGGGTGTGGGGTATGACATTGGACAAAAGGATGGTTTTCATTTTTGGCTAAACTATGACAAAATGAATGAGCATTTTGCTCCCTTACAAAGGAGCAAAAAAGCGAACAATTAAACGTATATGAAATAAATTGTCCACGTGGAGCATTTTATTGGTGGTTCCCCCTAAGATTAAGAGTCTAGTATATCTTTAAGGAGAATGAGTTCAGTTAGATTCCATATAGACATCAATGATAGAAAAATCTGATACTTGATTTATCTATTGGAAATCAGCACTATGCTTTTGAACCAATTAATCCATTCCAACAATAGTGTTTCTCAACCTTGCCAATTTAAGATATGTGGCCTTCAATTTCCAGAAATTCCCCAGACAGCATGCTATGCTTATAGGCTGCTTGTGATGAACATTTTCAAATCTCTCTCTCTCTCTCTCTCTCTCTCTCTCTCTCTCTCTCTCTCTCTCTCTCTCTCTCTCTCTCTCTCTCTCTCTCTGAGAAAGAGATGCATTTCAGTAGGCATTTGTTCTTGCTGCCTACTCCTTGATTTTTATTTCTTCTATTATTGCCATGGAATGAAAGCAGACTAAATTCTTACAAATTTAGTGGAGGAAGAGGATTATTTTCTTAAATACAAACATTTATGGTTTTAGTGGTTTGGTTTGGTGTGGTTTGGGCCAAGAAAAGCCCATTGCCAATGACTTATTGAAAACCAGAGACATTTTCCCCAGTTTCCAGCTCAACTACATCATTCATTTCATTTCTTAAGGCAGAATGAGACTGATTCAAATTGTTAAGAAAGGGCAGAAAAACATTATTTTTAAGGCTATTGTTGGAAGCAAAGTGCTTGGAAGTTTTTCTACCTGACATGCAAAATAACATAGTCAGCTATGGGTTATGTGCATTCTGATGTATTTTGGAGTGAAGACACCACTGGTACCAACATTCAGCATTTGTGCATTTGTTAGGAATGTAAGTCACCTAACAGCTATTTGGATTGGAAATATATAAACCAGGATAGACATTTTAATACTGTCTCTTTAAGAGAATCCAAAACTGTAATTGGGTGTGGTTTCTCAAATGGCCATAAGATGGAGCCAGAAACCTGGGTTGTCTTAGTCTTAGTCTCAGAAGAAGTCTCAGTGAGTCTCTTTTTCCTTCTGTTGGAGATTATTGCCGTTCCTTCTAATTGACTGCTATTTCTGGATTTGATGTAAGTCTGATACTGAACTGTTTTTTTATACTGGACTTTGTTATTGGATTATCCCTGGACTGAAAATTGACTGTCTTACCTGTGAATGACTTTGGACTGCTTGTTTTGAACTTTGCTTAAAAGTTTCTGGAAGTAAAAACCTACATTTACTGTACAGTGTATCTGTGTGCTGTGTGTGTATTATTCAAACACTACTCTCAATACGTCTCCCTGTATGCGCTCATTTTCCTAATGGGGAATTACCTCAACAGCATTGCCCTTATTACATAATCTATGTTTGTCTATAAACAATGGAGTAGTTCTCATTGCTGATAGAGGTTTTCATCTCAAACTGAACTAGGGGGAGATGAGTAGACATCAACAACAACTGCAGGAACATTATGATTTTCAGTATTGTGAAGGGACTTGAGCTCCATGAGGTTCCTTACAGTGGTAGTATTTGAAAGTTCCCACCACCATTTCTATGGGCGTGGCTTGGCGGGCTTGGCTGCAGGGGTGGGATTGCATGACTTGTGCGCTGCATACAATCATGCGATTATGCACACGCGCCAAACACATGCTTTGTGCATGCATTAAAACAGTAAAAACTAAGCTACTGCACCTCACAACTGTTTATAACAGCAATCCGCTCTACTGCCCCAAACAGCTGAGAGATTAAAAAGGACCAAGGAGCATGGGCCGGCAGGTGGGTCCAATTGTAGAGCATTGGAGAGGCTCGGAGCAAACTGGTTCTCTGCCAGCTGATCTTCAGTGCTACTGGTGCACCAGAACCAGGCCGAACTGGTAGAATACCACCACTGGTTCCTTAATTATAATCATTCCCTTCTTATTTTGTGGCAATGTTTCCTTTTTTTAGTCAGGCAAACTGACAATATGCCTTCATCTAGCTGGTGACTTCTAACAAGTAATGAGTCTGGTCTTCTCTTTCATTATTCTCAACCTTACCAAAGGTCCTCTGAAACTAGTTCCATCTTCCTCTTTAAGACACTTTATAGATATAATACTGTTTACAAACTAAGAAGCTTTCAGTAGTGCAAGAAATACTTAATCCATTTTAGAATCAATCTCTACAGTAGTTTTTCTCTAGATTGAAACCAGCAACCCATCTATAACAACCACTAGAGTTCTTGGGCTGAAAGCCATCAGCTCTATTTTGAAGCTGCTTCTTCCCAGAAGTTTTCCTGGGTGATATTTAAAATGTGTCCTTTTGCCTTACCATATCTGCTGCCTCTCTTTTTCTCCTAAATCTAAACTTTTTTTTTACAAATATGGATAATTTTTTTTGATTGCGTGTCCGCATGGATGCACGAAGAACCAAAAGAAAACTAATTCTGAGGACAGGGGTGGGCTTCAAAAAAATATCAGCAACCGGTTCTCTGCCCAGTTGCTGGGTGGGTGTGGCCATGATGGGCATGGCCTAGTCAGCCTCCTACACCATGGCGGGGAGGGCAACAATGGCCTCCCTGGGTTCCAGAGGCCCTCCAGAAGCTGGAAACAGGCCCGTTTCCGGACTTCCTGTACTTCCAGTTTGGCTGTTTTTTGCCTTCCCCGGAATCTGGAGGCTTCCCTTGGGCCTCTGGGAGGGTGAAAATGGCCTCCCCTGGGCTCCAGAGGCCCTCCAGAAGCCCATTTTTCACCCTCCCCGAGCCTCCATGCAGGCCCTGTACTTACCTGCTATCCAAAACAGGCTGTGTGGGGACTCCTGGGAGGGGAGGGGAGGGGTGGAGGGGCCAGCCAGGGGTGGGATTTGCGAGTTTGCTGAACCATGCAGAATCTTAGCTAAAGGATTGCCCAAACCCATGCAAACCCAAAGCAGCCCATCCCTGGGGCAAATTCATCATAAGAAGGCTCCATAGAGTTCTTCTAGTATCTGCAGATTTATACTGTATATTAGTTGTAAAATATATATTCTCTTCCCATTTTCAATGCACGTAAGGACAATTCATGCCCTCACAGGCTTAAGCACTTTCTCTTAGGACTGGTGCCCAGCTCAATTTCTTTTTTCTGTCATTTGGCTGATTGATTATTAGTGAAGGGGCAAGGCACATATAATTGATTCTGTCAGCAGCAGCAACAAAATATTAGGTATATTCAGATCCAACTCCTTATCATCTTTGAGAAAAGCCTAATGGCTGTTCCTTAGCAGCAAACCTTCACTTTTGAAATGCATTGCCAAAGAAGATACTGGGTGTCTGGGATCCATTCTTATTTTATTTTTTTACATCAGGATACAATTTTTTTTTAAATTCTTCCACATTTGTTAACTTTTAATTTTAATTTTAGTACCACAGCCTGTTCTGTTACTAATTTTATTCCTGCTATTTAATGGTGACAACAGAATGGAAATTAATTTTATATGTATTTTTAAATAGCTTTTTTTGCTCTATGTTGCTCTGGTAAGTGCTTTATAGGAAAAAGAAAATTAAATAGAACTCAATGAAATACATGCAATCAATCCAAGGGAAAAGAAGATGAAGATCTCAATTTGTTAGTATTTTCTATCTACATTTCTCAGAACCCCTCAAATTCTATAGCAGTCAGTCCAACCCAAGTCATAGAAAAGACCATCCATTGGCTTCTTACAGCATGATTTAGTGTCCCTCAAAATAATAATAATGCAGCAAGCATGGATTTCTTTTGCAAAACAAATCCCCATTTTGGTATCCACAGATATTGTCAAAAACACCATTCTATGCTTTCTTGCTGCTTCAACTACTGTCATTCATCCCAACAAGATGATAATTGGCACTATAGGAGCTGTGCAAATTTGCCATGCATTATCGATAGCAGAACAAATTCCCTCTTTGTAGCTATAAGCTACGACAAATATGTAGAGTTGTAACCTGAAGCTAACTGTTCTTCTTTTACAGCTGCTGAATGAGGCACTAAGAGCATCTCTCTGGGTTCCTGACTTTATTGCTTATATGCAAAATCTACTCTTACACAGAAAAATATGGCCCCTAATTGCTGCCAATTAGCCCTGCCAGCTTGCCTTGCTGAATAGCGCACCTCATTAGCCATTACAGTTTCCTGCTGAAAATCAGTTCAGTGCCTCCTGCTCCTCCTAGCATCTGTTCAGGAGCTCCTATCTCATGGCCATCATGTCCTCTCATGTGTCAATTGCTGCCTTATTAAAGAATGATAGCTTGGGTTATGGAAAGTGACACATTAGCACCATCAGATCAGATTCCAAGAACTCCCCCTACTTTATGAGCTATTTGGAGCTAGGGAGCCAATTTTTTCAGCAACTCCTTTGCCAGCTTCTGATCATCTTGAATGAGTTTAGATTCTGGGCTAGTTAAACCTGTAACCAAGATAGAGCAAAGAAGTATCACTTAGTTGTCAAGCAAATGTAAGGTTTAGAAAATGACAAACCCGGGAAACAAAATCTGTACTAGGTTATTCTTTGGCCAGTATAAATAATTCTGGTTGTATTTCTCCTATGACTTTTTGCCTTTTTTCTGTTTTGTTATTCTTTTACCTGCAGCATCTCAGGCTATGGAGCAGCTGGTGGCAAAGGGAAAAATAGCATGATGAGATCACATGGTGTGAGTGTTGTGGGAATATTTCCGCTCGAGAAGAATGATACTTTATACATCTTGGTGGGACAACAAGGAGAAGATGCTTGTCCCAGTGTAAGTGATTGTCCTTCCAACATACATGATGGTATTTCTTCTCATTTCTGTGCAGCTGCTAAAAACTTGGCATCCTGAGCTTCCCAGACTTTGTCCTATTGATTGTAGCCTGTTCTTATATGCCTCCCTTCATCCAACAAAAGTATCTGGCCCAGGAAAAATGGCCTGTCCTGATCCAATGATGTCCCCACATACAAACATTTCCTCTGCTCCCTGCCAAGTGCCACTGTAGATCAATCACTCCATCTGCCATCCTGACTGCACACAGCCTATCATCACATCAGGCAATGCATTTTCAGATATTTAAAATGATGTCCATCTTTTGTCAAGTCTGTTCTTCTGAATGGGAATTTGATTTCTGGTATAAAATGCTGCTGCAGCATCTGGATAAACTGTCTAATGGAGGAGGGGAAAGAATGGATGTGACTGCTGATAAGTTGGGTATCAAGCAAGAAGCTGGTACTAACCATTGCTACAGCTCTCTACTTACCCAGTAAATAAAACTCATCCATCTTGGGAGTTAGTGTGAATGAAGCATCTTAGTGTACAAACTGGAAGCTTGCTTGGTTCTAGAACACCAGGTATGGCAGCTGGATTCCTGCAGGCAATTGGAGGGGGGAGATGGTAGGACAATGATTTAACTGAATTATGAGTATGGTGGATTCAGGCACTTTTTTTTTCAATTTCATTTTTTTAATTTTGATTTCTTTTTCTCATGGGAACTCCAAGATGTGGAAAATATTCAGTGATATATTTTGAAAATGCCCAGCTTTTTGCTCTTTGTATTCTTCAGGGCTCTTGTCTTGAGGATCTTTTGAATGGCTAAGATCCAAACAGTGGTTCTTTATGAACAAATGAAATTGGGGGTCTCCATGGCAAGGGTTAACTGCACAATTTTTGGAAAAATAGCTATCTAACAAAATGAAATTCAGTGGTGAGAAAAAGTAAGGTTCTACATTTAGGCAAGGAAAACCAAATGCATAGGTGTAGCATAGGTGGTACCTGGCTCAACAGTAGTAACTGAGAGAGGGAACTTGGAATCCTAGTGGACAATCACTTAAATATGAGCCAGAAGTGTGCTGCAGCTGCCAAAATAGAGTCTTAGGCTGCATTAACAGAGAGATAGAATCAAGATAATGTGAAATGTTAATACCACTTCATACCACTTAGTAAGTACCACACTTGAAATACTGCATCCAGTTTTGGTTGCCACCAGGGGTGGGATTCTACCAGTTTGCACCTATTCGCTACAATCGGTTGTTAACTTTCTAAGCAGTTCAGAGAACCGGTTGTTAGAAGAAATTACTGGCCTAATCCTGTAAGGAAGGCAGGAAGGAAACATGCTGGTGTTGCTTATAGAAACTGCCTCTCCGTTAACCCTTATTACATTCTTGGCAGGACTAGACTTCCTGTCTCAGAAACTTCTCTGGAGATTTTTTTCCCCATCCTTTGCTGGTACTTTGCTTGTGTGAGTGACCATTCAAAGTTACAATGGCACTGAAAAAAGTGACTTATGACTGTTTTTCACACTTATGACTGTTGCAGCTTCACCACAGACATGAGAGGCCAGGCTAGGAGATGCGTGCCTCGATGTGAGTGATATTGAATTGGCCATGCCCAGCCAATAACATGACCACCAAGCCACATCCACCCAGTCACATGACCACCAAGCCATGCCCACCAACTAAGTCATGCCCACAGAACCGGTTGTTAAAAAATTTGAATCCCACCCCTGGTTGCCACGATATCAAAAAATGTTGAGACTTAGAAAAAGAACAAAGAAGAGCACAAAGATTATTAGGGGATTGAAGGCTAAAATATATGAAGAACAGTTGCAGGGATTGCATATGTCTACTTAAATGAAAAGAAGCACTAGTGCTTGATATGATAGTCCCAAAAGTGCTTTTACAAGAGGCAACTGGACTTTCTGGTTTTTCTTTGAAGAAATCCATTCATTTTCCCTCACTATTTGAAGGGTGTTCATCACAAAGTGTATTGCTAAATGTCTGTGGAGATTCTCAGTCATCCAGGTCATGGTTGTCCCAAGCTGCTTTTTCAAGAAGCAACTTTTTTTTCAAGAGGCAAATTTCTTCAAAATTTCTTGAAAAAACACTTTTGGGACAACCATGACCTGGATGACTGAGAATCTTTCCAGGCGCTTGACATGATGGCAGTGTTCCAATATCTAAGAGCTGACACAAAGAAGAGGAGGTCAACCTATTCTCCAGTACATCTGAAGGCAGGACAAGAAGCAAGGGATGGAAACTAATCAAGGAAAGAAGCAATCTAGAACTAAGGAGAAATTTCCTGACAGAAGAATTAATAAGTGGAACAATTTGCATCCAGAAGTTGTGGGTGCTCCAAAATTGGAGATTTTTAAGAAGAAATTGGACAACTATTTGTCTGAAATTGTATATGGTTTCCTGCCTGCAGAAGGGGCTGGACTAGAAGACCTCCAACATTCTTTCCAAGTCTGTTATTCTGTTATTCAAATTTCCCTGTTGTTGCTTATAAATGAATACAAGAGGTTGTTTGTCCTTTTGGAACCACTTTTGTTTATTTTTTTATCAGTGATCTGGGCATTGTGGCATTCTCTAATATATGAAGTCATTAAATTACAGGCCACTGTAATCTTTACAAGAATTTATTGAGTGGTAATGTAATCAAGGCAAAGATATTGCATTGACTTTGTGAAAGTAGTAGCACTTCATTGGATTATAATTGGTTATGTGTTTGTTTGAAGTGTGTTTCATATGTATAGTGTGTGTGTGTGTGTTGTGGGATTCAAAAAAAATTGCTACAGGTTCTGTGGGTGTGGCTTGGTGGGCACGGCAGGGGAAGGATACTGTAAAATCTTCAATCAGAGGTGATATTTGCCTGTTCTCCGAACTACTCAACATTTCTTCAGAACTGGTCAGAAACTGCTGAATACCACCTCTGGTGTGTGTGTGTGTGTGTGTGTGTAAGAACCCAACCCAACTGTGAGATGTCACAATTGGAGAAGCAATGGCTAATCAAACAGCTGAGTCACTGCAATGAAGTTGTTTGATTAGTCATTCCTCCTCCAATTGCGAATTGGATGGAGCTAGTTGATCTTTTCTTATGCCACCAAATGGCCCTTGAAGGACCAATTCTAGTCAAGTGCCTAATGATCAACAAATTAAACATAAAAGATATATGTTTAGTAAATTAGTACTGATTAGGTTCTCTTTTTCTTCTTATAAAAGTTACATTATTGTAGCTGGTTAATAATGTAAACTACAAAGTAAGAATAATGCATGTTTTTCTGTCTTTGAAATACTTATTGTGAAGCAGTATCATAATCCAAGATCTCTCCCTTTTGTATGTATGATGATGTGGCACGCACATACAAAAGGGACAGGGTTTGGCTCACAATGCTATGCCTATCATCTTCTAGATTTTGAAAATGCCAAAAAATACCTTCGGGTGCAATAAAACAGTTGCAAAAGAGTCACCTCCAGGTGAGATGGGAAGCATATAAGATGGATGGATGGGTGAGTGAGTGAGTGGTGAATGAATGAATGAATGAATAAAACATTCAAGGAAGTACATAAATATTCTGTGGCTATTTGATCACTGTTCAGAGACAGAATAATGGATTATGACGAACAAATGATCCAATTTGATTGATTGATTTAAATGTTTATGGCTGCCTATTTCAAATTCATGACTCTGGGAAGCTAACAGCAATTTAAAACTATACAATAAAATAAAACAATTTAAAAAAAACAGCACAAATATAATTGGCTTCTACCTGCATGGCCAGTTCAAAAATTAGGCAAGCAGACATTCAAAACATCTAGAGGAAATTGGCCTCATTATCCTTAGAGCGTTGGGTTATGAATTCAAACTCCTATTGAAGTGATTATTTTTCAACATAATCTTATCCCTCAAACATGAAAAGTCAGGTTTGTATGTCACCTTAAAATTCACGGAAAAAAAAAAAGCTGGAATATAAGTAAGCATTTTAACAATGTTAAACAGGTTTAGTTCCAACCCCTGAATAGGCTCTGGGGTGAATGCATTCAGTCACAGGTAATTTTTCATCTGTATGTTAGAAGTTCCCTAGAAACAGAACATATCCTTTTTTGCACTGTGTCTATTCTGGCAATAAAAGTTTATTAACAATATTTATAAGACATCCCCATCCACATGGACTGTGTGCCAATTTAAAGTATCCAATTTTTAATTAGTACCTCTCCACACACAGCATATGTCTCAGTGTGTAAGCCTACTTTTAGAAAAGAGTATACTGAACTTCTGAGTCTCACAGTAGTAGTATGCTAACATACAATTAAAATTTGTGCTGTTTCCCAATACAGCTGGGGTTGAAGCAAGGTCTTCTTGCTGGGCCAAGGAGCAGAATGACAGACCCAACATTCATAACTCGGCTACTTATGTCGTCTCTGAGCTCAGTAGAGCAATGTGGTGCATTAGGAAATAAATTTCTAATAATTAAGCTTTGATGACAAATCTCTTGAAATATTCAGGAAGACCAAATGGTTACTGGCAGGAAGATGGGGTTGTTTTTCAATCATCTCTTTGCAAATAAAAATACACCATTGCCTGAGGGAATTGCCTAGCACTTTTATCATTACATTAAACAGCAAATTAGCACAGTTAAAAGCCAGACAAGAACCTAATTTCTATTCCATAGCACCTGTAACCTACTGTCAGTTTCCTGCCAATTAGCTTGGACCTGTTCTAGACATGCATCAGAATGAAGTGATGCTGTAAATCCCATGGTGACTCCTCAGTCCTTTTGCTGCAGACTGTCTTACTTCATTGCTTTCTAGTGTGTCATGCTGTGTTTCCTGTAATAAAATTGAAAAATCAAAACCTATCAGGAAGTAAAGGTCTCTAGCATACTTCTTTTCATACTAAGCTAATTGCAAACTGTTCCTTATGCAAAAGAGGACTCAGCCACAGTTTGAAAGAGCCAGACTGTAAATTTAATAACAAAGGATGACGATTCCAGAATTTAATGTTCCAGTACAACTGAGGACAACTGGATTAGAGAAAACAGCTCTTTCACTTTGGAATCTTCTCCTTCTACTCCAGGTGTAAGCTAAGAATTAGCTAGGAATAATACAGGTTGTGGGTAGCTCTGGTTTCTACGGAGGGAGGCCAAGAAGAGGTTTCTCCATCTGAATTTGTTTACCTGGTTGTATGTGCAGATCCATCATGCCGTACAGAAAGTCTGCCGTGGAGAGAATAATGTGGTTGAAGATGAAATTAAAGCAAATGGAAGCATCCAAGAATGGGCAGGAGGAGGAGGTGGAGGAGGAGGTGCAACTTACATATTTAAGGTACTATTATATTAAGGAATACCTTATATTCTGATTATGAGCTCTTCTTTTGGCGGCAGAGGGTTGAATTTGAAATGTTTTTTCCAGGCAAAATATTTCTCTAACATTGGGTTGTATTAAGAGAAAAGGGTAAGTAGAAAAATTGAGGGTGTCAAAAACAGAATGAGCAGCTCTTTAGGAATCTGGCTTTGGGGAACTACCTCTGAAAGAATGTAAACCTTGAAGCAAAGCCCCTGGTGCCGGTACTTACCTTCCCTCTTCGATCACAGCCTCAAGAAAGTCTTTATTTCTTTTTTTTTCTTAATTTCACTTGAGTACTGTGCCCAAAGCATTAACTGTTTTTAGACGTTTTGGCTTATTGCAGTTCCTTCATAGGGAGGAAAATAGGGCTTTCTTGAGTGACATGGTCCATATTTAAAATGTATGCAAGGTAAAGAGCTGCAAAGAAAATTACACATGAACAGGTTTGTGGTTTTAAGGGTTGCCTGCCACTTTTTTATACCAAGATATACCTGTGTAATAGTTTGCATTACAGCTTTTCTATATTTTCAGCTTAAAGTGGTAGAAAACTGTCACAGGTTTTCAGCGAACATGATGAGCCAAGTCAGTTTATAATCTTACCAAATTAGTAAAGCTTGCTGTTTTTAACTGAAATGAAAAATAGCATTTTTAAAAGGTTGATGGTATTAATTCTAAATCCTGCAATTCTGCAAGTACTGAACAGCTATAGCTTATATATTGTCTATTATGCTATAGATCATTGTACGCATAGTGGAGAATGACAAAAAGGTTAAGTCAAGGTAATGATTAATATAGACGATTTAGTTCTCTAAAGAATGATTATATTTTACCATAAACATCTGGAACAGTCTGTAGGCCACCAACATACTATCTGGAAGACTTCTCCATCAGTTCATGTGGGATAATTGGGGGGCACCAACTCCAAAACGAGACTGGGCTAATTAAAGCAGCCTGCTCCAAATGCCTGATGTATCTGGCAACTGGTTTTTCTCCTGATCTTGATTTGCATTGAAGCTGTCATCTATTGATAGGGTATTATCAATACACTGATGACATCCAAGTACATCTCTCTCCACTGAGCTGGGAGATCTGATAGAAGTCCTCCTCCAATGCCTAGCCTCTGTCAGGGCCTAAACAGTGAGAGGCAGATTCAGTCCAAGCAAGACTGGGTGGCTCTTCGTTCAAATTCTGAGGTGATTTCAGTATTGAAGGGTTGTATTAAAAGAAAAGACTTGTAACCAAATAGCCACCAACATATATCACTTATACTGAAAAAGCAGTAGAGACCGTGACCAGGAGGGTTTTTGCCCAGGTGGATCAGGACATAACGAAGGCAACCACTCACACCTTTGACACTTCATAGTTGGATTTCTGAAATATGATCTCTTGCCCTTGAAGACTTCCTGAAAACTTCAGCTGGTGCAAAATGTGGTTGCCCATGTGCTTGCAAGACAATGACAGTATAGTCATATGATACTATTCTTATGGGATTTGCACTGGTTACAATTCATTTCTGAGCATAATTCAAGGCACTGGTTATCATCTACAAAGCTCTACATGACTCAGGGCCTGGGTATCTTCGTGACCACTTATCCTTCATAAATTCTGAACAGAGACTGTTTGTGGAAAATACCTTCTTATCAATAGGTACAACTGAAGGGAGCATTGAAAAGGCATTTGTAATGGCTGCTTCCATGTTTTGGAATAGCTTAGCCTTCAGAGCAAGGATCTTATAGCCATCTGGAGAATGATTAATCCTAGCTAGTTCAGAAGGCCACAGCTGAAATCAGATCTGTGGCCACCAGTGACACTGTGATTGTTATTGTGTTGCAGTTTTATCATGTATCATTGATTTTTTATCCGTATTGCATTATGCATTGTTTGCAGAAGAGTGAGGCAGTTTATAAATTGATCAACTAGGGAAGTGACTCATACATTCTAAAATTGCTTTTTGCTGCCCACCATTGGATTCTTTGAAGCCTTTAAAGCCACAGTAGCAGCACTTCAAAATTAAAGCCAGAGGACCTAAAACAACAAATACCAGCCCATCAAGATTGACAGTACAGGCACAGAAGCAACAGCTGTCTGGTTTATTTGGGGGGGGGGAATAAACATCTGTAAATTGTGGGTGGCATCCAAAAACAAAATTTGCCTATAGCATCCAAAATCTATGAAGCCAAGATTTGTTAAATCAAGGGTTCACTGTGCATAAAAATGCAACAGTAATTTAGATCGATCTACAGCCCTGTGGGGCTTGTGAAGTACAGCTTACACATAAGGAACACATTTATTATTTGCACACCTGGCACAGTTAAACTCTCATTTTATTTCTACCTTTGAAGATGGAAAACGGAAAGCCGGTGCCCTTGATTGTTGCAGCAGGAGGAGGTGGCAGGGCCTACAGAGCCAAAGCCTATGTATTAGACCATGAAAGGCTGGAGAATGATATATCTATTCCGGGGTTCAATGGGAAATCTGGAGCCGCAGGTAAGGAATTATTCCAATCTCTTTGCCAGGCTTAACAAAAGATTTGGTCTAAAAGCCATGGCTTGTGAGCCACAAAGGAATTTCCAAGCAGTCAGAGCATGCATTTGGCATCAGTTGATCTATTTCTGCTGCCTAAAAATCAAGGGTTGTGTGTTGGAAAAGCAGCGGTCGGTGTCCTCAGCCTGCTGCAGTGACAATTCATCAGACTAGGTTCCCACTATCCATATGTACATTCATAAAATTATTTAGATCACAGCCATGAACATTAGTGAAGAAGGATTGCTGGAGCACTATTGGTGGGAACGTGGAATCTACAGCTGTTGTTTTTTTCCCATATCGTTTTGCAGAATTATTCATGTTACTTTGCCCAAATTATAAATATTCATGAGATTTGGTCAAAGAGAATGATGTGCTTCTGAATATATACAGTGCTTGAAAAGCAGAAAAAGTCTAAATTATATTTTGACCAATTAATCAGAGTAATATCTTCCACAAGAATTTAAGAATAAATAAACTCAGAGTGAAGATTATTCACTACAGGTTAGCCATCTTTTATCCTTACGGCATATGGCAGCAGTTTGTCTTTTCAGTTTACTAGATTTAAAATCATTTTAGTATATATGTCTTCTGCTCTATTGTTGATGAAAAAAATAATAACTTTTGCAAATCAATCCACCTCTAAATGTTTTTTAATTATCATATAGATTAATACAGGATTTAAAAAATGTTTCTCAAAAATGTATACTTTAGAAAGGGATCTTTTGCTCTGTTATTCTTCCAGAGTCCTAATGTAGCTTCCTGAGGCTAGAGCAAGGATTTAAGGACAATTTATCTTTAAAAATAATAATTTAATCCCTGTTGCTGACTATGGGGGTAAAACCAATATATGCTACTTATTCTGTGGCTCTGTGCTGAGTTAGAATGATCTTGCAAACAACCCATATGTCTAGCTTGGTTTCATGATCATTATTTCTATTATAACAACCATTTTAATGTAATAGGTATTCTATTCAGTCCAGACTTCTTCCTTACAGATAATCAGAGTTGGAAGGGACCTTGTAAGTCATCTAGTCCAATCCCCCACCTAAGTACACCATTTCTGACAAATGGCAGTCCAATCTCCCTGATTCTTCCTTTCTAACTGCTCAAACTCCTTCAAAATATGAACTTAAAAGGTGCTCAGACTGTGTAACTTTCTGCCTCTGGTAATGCAAAAACTGTCTGAGACTGCTCGGTTCAGACTTCTGATAAGAGTTGCCGACTGCTTCTCTGAGCACATGCTGTTTGGGCGACAGATGGGCCCACAGGATATGGTCAAAAAAGTCATGATAGCAGCTCTAACAATGCAAGTTTTTTCCATCTTCCTTCCTTCCTCTTTCTTTCTTTCTTTCTTTCTTTCTTTCTTTCTTTCTTTCTTTCTTTCTTTCTTTCTTTCTTTCTTTCTTTCTTTCTTTCTTTCTTTCTTTCTTTCTTCCATTGTATGTTAAAAACAGTTAAGAGCTTTGATTGCATCTGTCACAGGCATCACCTTGACCATAGCAGCAGACACCTATTTTAGGAGAGAAAAAGCAGGATATGAGAAAGAGTAAATGGCAGTTTTAATGACTTTGGACACATTCCTTCCCATCACCAGCATGTCACCACAAATACATTGTCACAAGGATATATATGCAATTTTTGACAGTTCAAAAGCAAATGAAGACATTTCAATGATCTTGTGTACTGGACGTAAATGTAGACAATAAAATGCTTACAAAGTGTATTGCACAGAAACAATGAAAAGTAAATGTCAGTATGTTATGTCTGGCTCGGGTGGGATTCAATTTTTTTAACAACCGGTTAGTTGGTGGGTGTGGCTTGGTGGTCATGTGACTGGCTGGGCGTGGCCAACTCAACATCACTCACATTGAGGCACATATCTCCTCGCCTGGCTTCTCGTGACCATGGGGATGCTGCAATAGTCATAAGTGTGAAAAATGGTTTTAAGTCACTTTTTTCAGTGCCATTGTAACTTTGAATGGTCACTCCACACAAGCAAAGTACCAGCAAAGGAGGGGGAAAAAACTCCAGAGAAGTTCCTGAGACAGGAAGTCTAGTCCTGCCAAGAATGTAATAAGAGTTAATGGAGAGGCAGTTTCTGTAAGCAACACCAGCATGTTTCCTTCCTGCCTTCCTCACAGGATTAGGCCAGCAATTTCTTCTAACAACCGGTTCTCCAAACTGCTTAGAATGTTAACAACCGGTTCTAGCGAATAGGTGCGAAACTATAGAATCCCACCCCTGGTCTGGCTGACTTTGTGACCAACAATAGTAAAATAGGAAATTAGAAATATAAATAAAACAGCTGATATGAACTACGGAAATGATAAGTTAGGAAAAGTAACAATAAAACCAGTAATGGCCAGCACTGAAACTATTCCTGGCAGCTTAGTGTCATCTGCAAATTTCATGAGTTCCCCTTCAGTCCTCTCGTGTAGATCATTTATGAATATATTGAAGAGCACTGGGCCTAATACAGAACCAGTGGGATACCCCACTGATTACTTCCCTCCATGCGGATGTAGTTCCATTGAGTACAATTTTTTCAGCCAGTTGCAAACCCATCAGGTGGTGGTGCTATATATCCCACATTTTACTACCTTGCAAGAAGTAGATTCTTCAAAAGAAAGAACCTTCAAACCTACGTCTTCTGTTTTTCTAATCAAAAGTAGACATTTGATTCATTACCACATAGTTAGATCATCAAATATTTGAAAATAACTATTATCAATAAAAAATCATCAGAATGTTTCTAGAAAAATTAATGAAACAGTGGAAGAAAAATTGGTAGTTGGAAATGAAAACTATGGGCTTGTCAATATTAGGGGAGGCATCTTCCAGAGCTACTCATATAACATTTCTTGTTATGTGCCATTGATATGATCCCACTTGCAGTGATTTTGAAAAAAAAAATCTTGGATACCACACAGCAAAATATGCTAATAGACTCTCACATCTGTTTTATATTGATGATCTGAAACTTTCTGGAAAATCAGAAACTGAAATCCTTAATTGGCAAATACTGTAAAAGATTTTAGCACAGCTATAGCCATGGACTTTGGCCTAGAAAAATGTGCTGTGGTAGCAATAAATTGAGCTAAAATCAGTAATGGAATTGAAATGCCAAATGGCTAAACCATTAGAAGCCATCAGGACAAAACCTACAAGTGCTTGAGCTTTTTATAATTGGATAACATGAAGCGTGGCCAAATGTAAAAAGTGATTAGTAAAGAATACATCCAGAGAGTGACAAAATTGAATGGAAGAAACAACATCAAGGCCATGAATACCTGGATCATAACAATAAACTGCTAGAATTATTAACTGAACATAAGCTGAGCAGGACAGTTTGGACCAAAACACAAGAAAACCTATTACTATTCACTATGCATTACATCCCCATCATGATATTGATAGATTATACCTGCCCCGCAGCAATGGCGGCAGAGATTTATTTCAAGTCCAACAAACTGACAAAGAAAAAAAAGTATACGTCAGCTGACTATGTGAAATACAGCCAAGAACAAGCATTGATGCAAGTTAAAAATGGGAACTTGCTGAATATGCAAAACCAAAACATGACTATTGAAATAATGTAATAAAAGTATTCACAGATTGCTGGCAAGGGAAAACTCTGCATAGTCAATCTCAACAAAAGACAGAGGGCAAAGTGGATAAAAGATAAAACTTGTCAATAACTTACAGTTGGAACATTAAGAAAAGAAACTGAAAGCTAGATTTGGGTTGATCAAGACCAAGCTATCTATACCAATCCAATTTAGGCTAGAACTTTAAAATTGTCAAATGATTCAAAGTGCAGATTGTGCAAAAAAGCAGAAGAAACAATAAATTACTTATTCAGTTTGTGCAAAAAGTTTCACAAACAAATTATAAATGACATGATGTCAAAAATAATTCATTGGAACATCTGTAAAATTATAAAGTACCCAATACTGAAAAATTGTTGGGATGATAGAGTTGGAAATGTAGTTGAAAATGAGCAGGTCAAAATATTGTGAGATTTCTTTGGAACATATTACCATGTATGGTGGAAATGTGAAAAAGCCCAAATATATTGACTGAAAATCAGAAGTTGCTTAAAAGAGATGTGTAAAATTAAAATAGAGTTCAGACCTGAAATTTTCTTATTGGGAATTAATGTGGGGAAATATAATAGATAATATACCTAATAATCCATGTCAACACTGCCGTGAGACTAGCTCTTGCCCAAAGATGGAAAGGAAATGATATGCCAGAAGAGAAGGAAATAATTAGAAAAATTTGGTCATGCACTAAAATGGATAGAATAACTCAAGAATTAAAAGATAAGACTGAATCTGATTATTACAGAATTTGGGAGTAGTTTTACCACTGGTTTTAAAAAAGAAAGGAGTAATTGTAGCAAAGATTATCAATATTTATGTACATATGTACATTTGTATTTTTTGTTATGTATGCACCACGTCCATTGTTTTTAATGTTTTTTTCTGTTTGTTGTTCATTAATAAAAATTTAAAAAAATATTGTGAGATTTCTGTATGCAAACTGGTGAACTCTTGGATTTTAACACAGATTTAACAGCGGTTGAAAAGAAGAAAGTGTAGATAACTGATGTGGCAATACCAGGGGATAGTAGAATAGAAGACAAAGAATTGGAGAAGTATGACATAAACCAGCATGATGATCCCAGTGGTCAATAGCACATTGGGTACTATACAAAAAAAATATTGGATGGCACTTCAAAAGTTTGCACATTGACAAAAAATTCCACCTGTCAAATACAGTGCTTGGCTCAACATATATATGATACAATGTGAGATCATAGTTTCTTGGAAAGAACTTGATGCATATGAAGATAAAAGAACCTATGTGTATGAAGGCCTAAATAACTAGCAGGTGTGACTTCACATGATTGTGAACAAGTCAGCTTTATCCTAAACAGCTTACATCCTGCAATGATATCTGTAAGACCATCAAACATCCACACCTGCCCATTCCAGCTCCTTGGGAAAAAGTCAATAAGTGGACAAAAATGCCAAATACAATCTGAACATCTGGCTGACTGTGACAAACCACAGTAACAACAGAATAAAAGACAAAGAACTAGAGAAAATCACAAAATATAAAGATCTACACAAAGAAGTAGCAAAACTCTGGCAAAAGAAAGCAAAGGCCCAGTACTCTTCAATATCTTCATTAACGACTTAGATGAGGGAATAGAAGGGGAACTTACCAAATTTCCAGAGGATACTAAGCTGGCAGGAATAGCTAACACCCAAGAAGATAAGCTCAAGATCCAGATGATCTTGGCAGACTAGAACACTGGGCCATATCTAATAAAATGAAATTCAATGTAGAGAAAAGTAAAGTCCTACACTTAGGCAAATAAAAACAAAAGTACGCATGTAGACTGGGTGAAACCAGGCTCAATAGCAGTAACTGTGAGAGGGATCTTGGAGTCTTAGTGGACAACTAGCTAAATATGAGCCAGCAGTGTGCAGCAGCAGCCAAAAAAGCTCATGCAATCCTAAATTGCATTAACAGAGGTACTAATCAAGTGAAGTACTAATACCACTCTATAAAGCCTTAGTAAGACCACACCTAGAGTACTTCATCCAGTTTTGTTCACCACATTATAAAAAAGATGTTGAGACTCTTAAAAAAGTACAGAGAAGAGCAACTAGAGGACTAGAGACTAAAACATATGAAGAACGGTTACAGGAACTGGGCTTGGCTAGTCTAATGAAGAGAAGGACCAGGGGAGACATGATAGCAGTCTTCCAATATTTGAGGGGCTGCCACATGGAGGAAGGGGTCAAGTTATTTTCTAAAGCGCCTTTAGGCCAGACAAGGAATAATGGATGGAAACTGAACAAGGAGAGATTTAACCTGGAAATAAGGAGAAATTTTCTGACAGTGAGAACAATTAACCAATGGAACAGTTTGCCCTCAGAAGTTGTGGGAGCACCATCACTTGAGACTTTCAAGAAGAGATTGGACTGCCATTTGTCAGAAATGGTGTAGGGTTTCCCGCTTGGGCGGGGGGTTGGACTAGATGACCTATAAGGTCCCTTCCAACTCTGATTATCTGTTAAAGAGAGTACAAATAGTAGTGGGCAGCTGGGGTGGATTCCTAAAACATCTGGAATATCACTTGAACACCATCATCATTGACAAAATCACCATCAGTCAATTGCAAATAGTAGCATTACTTGGAACAGATCATATCCTGTGATGATACCTTTAACACCATGAAACAACATATTGAGAAGGGTTCTGTAGGTGGACAAAAATGCAAATCTAGTGTAAACATCTGGCTGACTTTGTAACCAAACATCTTCATCATCATCATTATTGCAAAAAACAGCTTTACTCACAATCTCATCTGATATCTTGTGATGATACCTTTAACACCATCAAACATCAACACCTGCCTATTCCAACTCCTTGGGAAAGACTCGATAGGTTGATAAAAATGCTAAATCCAGTCTGAACATCTGGCTGACTGTGCAATGAACCATAATAATAATAAAATCCCAAAGAGAAAAGGTTTAAAGAAATATAAACATGGTACTGCTAGGAAAACAGGCAAAGAATTGTTATGCAATTTCTGTTCCCTGTTAAGCAGAGGTTTTTTTTTAAAAAAAGCTGCAATGCTATTTATTACATTTATGTTCTGCATCTCTTGTCAAAGTTACTGCTGAATGACACATAATTATTTCATGGGAATACAGTTAGGAACAGGTTTTATGCCTTTAAGTCTGTTTTGTACTAATCCAGTGCCCACTCCCAGATGTATTTAATTGTATTTCCAGTATACAGCAAGCCCAAGGGTTTGCCTCTCTATAAATATCAAGACAGCTGCTCCTATGAGCCTTAGACAGATCAGATTGTGATAATGTTTCAGAGCATCAGTGTGTGATGCTTTATTACTTATTTTAATTTCTAATGTCATATTTCGCACTATTTGTTTTTCCAATGGCAGCTTGTATAAACATTTTAAAAACAATGTGTAAAATGTTATTTCTAAATCATTTGCATAAAAATACATTGAAAAGGAAACAAATGAAATGGGCTAAAATAAATAAAGGGATAATAACAAAGAGTAATAAAACAGCAGGAGTCAACAGACACAAAAGTGTAATTAAAAACCCATAATGTGGGACTAAGTACAAAAAAAAGGAAATTAAGTTACAAAGCTTAGGAGCATTAAAATGTACTATATTTATCACAAAGGAAGACAAGTCCAACTGTCAGGAAAAGTAGATTTAAAAAACTGTAACTCTATACAATGTGCATTTTCCCATTTTGTTAGGATTGCAATTGCTTGTTGACATTGTTCCTTGCAATTTTCCCTTCTGTGTGTATGTGAGAAAAAGAAACAGTCTTGTATTTATAGGTATCTATTTTAGCCAACAGGAAAAAGGAATACAAAAATACCTTTCAGTGTTTTCTAAATAAACCATATGGCTGATCATTCACTTTAGGGGAATGAAAATTCCTTCTATTTCTTAATTTCTCAACCCCTCTTCAGCAGTGACCGTAGTGAAAAGGTTCACTAGAAAAAGTTGCTTTGGGATTTAAGTGAAGCAGACCCCCTGGAAATTTCAGGACCCTGGAGACATTCCCACATAGCCCTTAACCACCTTAACAACAAAAGAAGTCCAAACAAAAAAAAAATCACAATGGGCTCATTTCTCCCAAATTCTCTTCTCCTTTGAAAACATTTCTATAGGAAATTCTCTTTCATTATCTTGAATAAGATCCACAGAGGAACAAAAATGATATTGTTACCACCCATTCACCGTAGGCAGGAGGAAATATAAAGAGCATGGGGAAAGCATCAAATTATTACAGAAATATCATTTGTTCTGGGCTCCCTTTAACCTACACCATGCTTAATTCTATTGTACATTTTAGGGACAAGGAATCTATTAGATATTAGAGCAGATTGTTTGTCAAAATTGTCTAGGAGACAGCAATTTGACTTCCTACATTCCTGTATGTGGCCCCCCTTTTTTGGCAGCGCTCAGTTTTGTAGTTGAAAATTGGTGACATCCTAATTTTGAAACGAAAAACATTCAGAAACTTTGCTATAAATGTAAAATCCTACAGCTACTTCATTTCTTAAACTTAGTATAGTCCTATTTCAAGACATAGATTCTCAAACAATTTGTGTTCTAATCATGCCCATTACAGCATCAGATAATCTCCAAACAATGCAAATTATAGCTATCAAAAGATTTGGTCCAATCTAGTCTACTCCATCTGGTGGTGGCTTTCAAGAATTTTCCATTTAGTATGGTTATCTGCTCTTTTACTTGGAAGTGGCAAGAACTGGATCTTGGTTCATCTGAATGGCAAACCTGAATTTTGGCACCCTATTTTTTTCTCCCTAGAAAATCCTATTTCCAAATGCACCAACTATACATGTGTGCTGGGAACAGGAGATATTTATAAGTTTCCTCATATTGATTATTTCAGTACCAAGGAACACACCACGCACACACACACACACACACACACACACACACACACAAGCTAACAGTAGACTGACTTTGTCTAAGAAATTCAATTCCTGAAACAGGCAAATGTGTTTTACTCAGATTTAATATATTACATGTACTTTTACACTAATTAGATGCCATTTATCTTTCACATACCAATGCGATATCAATTATTTGAATGGATAAGTTTATAGACAGGGCCATACTCCATGAATCTAACTGGCTCAGTAACATCATATAAACTTCTTCCAGGATGTGTATATCCTAGGACTGCTGTATAATCTGTACTCTAGATGAGCAGAATTAGGTTTAAGAATTTAGGTTTTGTTGCCTTGAGAGGATTGTTAAATGTGTATGTACAGGCTTGCATACTACACTACAAAGCCCAAAGAAATGTTTAGCCTTTCTTAGGAAACCTGTACAAATTCTTCCTACGGGAAGCATGATTTCATCCTGGTGGTCTGTGCCTTCTAAGGGACGGCAATAAATACCTTACGCATGTTATTTTTCCTTCTGTTGAACTGCAGGTGGTGGAGGCGGCTGGAATGATAACACTTCCTTCCTCTGGTCGGGAAAATCCTTGCTGGAAGGCGCTACCGGAGGAAAATCCTGCCCCCAAGCCATGAAGAAGTGGGGGTGGGAGACAAGAGGGGGTTTCGGAGGGGGTGGAGGGGGGTGCTCCTCAGGTGGAGGAGGCGGAGGATATATAGGTAAAGTGGCTTTGTGTTCAAGGTGTCCCTTTCCCTCCCTTAGTGCTAATACTCAGCAAAATCTTGAATTTTTTCCCCTATAATTGACATATCTATATTTACCTTGACATCTATCTGTATATGAAATTTTTCATAATGCTGCATATTTATACAGGGTGTCCAAGAATCTGCATGGTTGTATTATAGCAACTTACCCATTGCTAGATTTAAAATTCTGTAGATAACCTTGGCTAAAAGGCAAGGAAGGACAGTAGTGAGGAACTTCTGTTTTTCCAAAGGCAAAAAAAAGCATGTCACTTTTCACAGCTTGACACTAAGATGCATAAGTGTTCTGGAAAGTGATCTTCAATGTTCTTTGCTTTCCGATTTCAAATTGTGCAATGACCATTCTGCAAAAAATGGAAACCTACAAGAAATTATACCTGATTGATTTCAACTATATGTTTTTAGGATCTTTATTGACAAACATTGATTTGGAAAAAATTGTATGCAGAATTCTGGACCTCTGGGTATATATTGCCTTTTAATGCTAGGTGAATGTTGTCAAATATATTTTAATGAAAAGCAGCCCAGAGAAATGAAGGCTGGTGTATATCCCCATGGTTGGAACTGGGAGAGAGATATTTAGTTGGCATTACTTTGTGACATCAAATCTCTGCAAATTACATTAGTATCTGTGTCAAACTGTTGAAATATCCCTTGGCATTAGTGCAAGTCCAAATCTGTGGCACAGTCAATGTGGCAGAACGTTTGACAAAAGTTATTCAAATGCATCTTATTTGGTGAAAAGAGAATTCTAATGAGGACATGCCATCAACCTTCAAGATTCTGCTGCAAATGTTTACGAGATGGTGGTGTTTGCTTTTTGTTCCTTAACTTTACAAAAGAGTAAATCACACAAACCATTGGATGGTATGGATGTGGTGATGTCAAAGTACTGTTTTCATTAAGAGGTTTTTGTTTTTTTTACCATGAACATCCCTCAGCCCAAAGTTCAAGAGATTAAGCAAATAAATCAGGGCTCTTATCTTCTTTGCAAATGGATTGCGGAGAAAATTAACAGAACCACCAGAATAGAAGGCTTACAAGAATAAGACTTAGTGCTTACTGGCTGTTAGACACTGTCTAGCTTAAAATGGCCATTTCAAGGAAAACAAAAATTTTGCAAAAAAAAAAATCATCTTCAATTACTTTGAGCATCCTGAATTCCCCTTCTTCTCAGTTATAGATAAATTATGATACCTTATATTACTAACACCTTTGACTACAAGTGAGGTAGATGTGCTGATTACTGTGTTTTTATTATAATGAGTTGAATATTTTAAGTTGATTGTTTGAATACCAGAATGTGAGGACCAGTTCTATATCAAATACATGGTAATCTGTGCAGTTCAGAAGAGCTTGTAGAAAATCCTATTCCAGACACATTGTTGACTGATGCAAATGGTACAGATGACCTTTTACACCAAACTAAAAGCACATTAGAGTAACTCTATCATGGTACTCAGCTCTTCCAAAATATATTTGAGAATCTCGGAGGAAACTAATAAATATTTACAGCATTTAATTTAACCACAGATGTATTACATAAATACATCTAGCACTCTCAAAAGATATTTTGGATTATAATTGCCAATAATCAGGAGAGATGTTATAACCCAAAGATTTATCCACATTCTCTCATATGCACATACTTTCTCTTGGAAAAAATAGAATGATGTCTCCTCTATGAATATTTAAATTTACCTATGATTTAGTTATGTATTCTACTCTTGAAAAAGCAACTGGGAATGGTTGAATGATTGGTTGGTAGATTGGCTTGAACAAAAAAGTAGAATGGAATGGATTGGAATGGAATGGAATGGAACGGAACGGAAAGGAACAGAACAGAACAGAACAGAACAAAACAGAACAGAATAGAAGAACAGAGTTGGAAGGGACCTTGGAGATCTTCTAGTCCAACCTCCTGCTTAGGCAGGAAACCCTATACCATAGGATTAAATAAATAAATAATGAGAAATAAATGCACAGTTTCATAACCCAGTTTAACATTGGCTGCCATTTCAGAATTACCATATTTATCCATAAGTTTCCATACTGGAGAGATTGTTGAAGACTAAATAAGCTAATAAAAATTATTACTATTGCTGTGTATAGCTTAATTTTTGCATATCATGTTTTTTTCAGTCTTTCATTCAAATGGCTGTACAGAGTTTATGTTATGCCTTTTTTTCTAATTTGTCATCGTTGTGGTGGGGACTTTGCCATAATGCCCGTTTATTTCATTAATAACCAAAAAGTTTTGTTAATCTGAGATTCAGAATGTTAGAAGCTTAAAAAACCATTAAGCTGCAACCATATGGAATTTATTGTATATTTTGCCAGGTGTATGCTTTTTTTTCTCTGTTAGATGTTTTTTGTTTTGAAGTGTTGATCACTGGTATAATTTATTTACCTGCATTTGACAAATACCAAAAAGGTAACCATGTTGCATGAAAAAAATGTTTTGTGTCACCTGAAAGATATATTGTGGCATAAACCTTAGAAGGTCAGACCACTTAATCAGATCTATTTCCACTGGTGATGAATAGACAAAGTATCTTTAAAGTATAAACAAATTCTTGAAAATGGATAAGTACTTTCTAGGGCTCCAAGTCTGTAAGGTTGAGTTTATACATATATTCCAATTGGCCGAATGTATGTGTATTAAGTACAAGAATTTTGTAAATCTATGGTAGACTAAAATGATCCTTCTTTGATTGTTCAAAGGGAACAATCAAAAGAGAAAGTTACATAGAGGCCTTGACCTCATTTCTCTGTCACTGGAGAGGGAATTCACAAACCTTCATGTATTTAGAATTCCTGATCACAAGAGGTTTCTTAAGATGATCACTTTAATTGAAGTTGGAATACCCAAAGTGAATTGTCCAAACATCTGGTGATTTTTTTTTCATGAGTGATATCTTTTTTAATATGTGATAACTTATGGTATCTAGTGGTCTGTTATCACTATGCCAATGGACCATTTCATCTATTGGATTTAATTCTATATTCATTTGTATTCAAAATATAATTTTATCTCTTATACTAATTGGCCTTTTGGCCTCATTATCCCAAAAGATGGTGAGTTTTATTTTTTCAACATTCATGAAGATATATTTATATCAGATTACTCACATAAAGCTCACACAAAAAATTATGCTACAATGTATTATTTAATTTTAAGGTGCCGCAAGAGATTTTGTTGTTCTTTGATATGCATTAGTGGAATCCATACAACAATTATTTAAGTTGTTTTCCAATTCTGTAGGTGGCAATGCAGCAGAACAAAATGACCCAGAAATGGATGGGGAGGATGGTGTATCCTTTATTAATAGCCAGTATGGTTCACTCTTTACTCCTGCGTTAAAAGGTATTTTCCGTTATTTATTTTATCACATGTACAGAATAGATAGAATATCAGCAATATGTCTTCTGAAACAGCTTAAAAATATTCCATATTAAATTAGGCATTATAAAAACCTCTTAGGAAGGTATTAAGTTCTACATTCCTAGAGAACAATATTTTCTAAGCTAATGCTCTTCAAATGTTTTGATTACTATTCCCCTAAAACTGAAATATTATGCCCAGGAAATGTACTGGTTAGGAACTATAGTTCTAACATAACTGGAGCAATACCATGTTGGGAGAGTGATCTCCCACAGAGATGGGTAGAATCTGGAGCAATTCAAACCCAGTATCTTCCAGTAAAGGTCGAAAGCGGAGTGGGACTAAGTTTACATCTCCTCTTCTGTATATGTTCATTTGTAGTAAAAAAAAAATCCGTAGAAAAAAAGAATCATATGCAAGTATAATTTGAGCATAAATCATATGTGAAAATAGTAATATTATACTATGACTGAAAACACAGGGCAGCTATTCCTGCTTACTACCCCCATCCTGCCACTTCCAATAACTAAAGCTATTTGACACCATCAGTTTTGCTGGTAGTTTCACAATTATCCTACTTGCTGTTTTTTTTTTTATTTAGAGTGTTACGAATGTTTGACCTACAGGTATTATACAAATCAATAATTCTTACATCTACTCTCTAGTGACAGAGGGGCATGGTGAAGTCAGCATTAAGCTATATTTGAACTGCAGTCATTGTGATCATGATATGTGCCATGGAGATTTGAAAACTCAGGAAATTGTTTGCATTTGTGGCTATGGATATGTGTTGGCTAATGACGGTGTTTCTTGCATAGGTAAGCATTACAAACTTTAAACATTTTGCTCTCTGACTATGTTGGATTACCCCCAATCAGACTCCATTGCTGATTTTGGATTCTGATTACAGTGGCAAAAAAATTTTTAGGGCAGCTCATTGTGGAAGTTTAATTGATCATTTGTGCAATGATACTAGATACCTACCTCCACATGACACTACATTTTTAAATGTGTGCATCCAAAACATCTTTTTTACTAGTACAAAAACATGTGGGGTTGGAAGTTTTCTACAGATACAGATATATTTTTTTTGAAGGGAAAGGTAACAGGAAGAGAAGTTGAAAATAACTAATGTGTTGTCATGTTTATATTCCAGATGAACTGATCCTGCCCACCAAGAATCCTCCTCTTTCTTTGGTCTTGTCAGTAGTGACTTCAGCTCTGGTTGCTGGTCTTATTCTAGCCTTCTCAGGGATTATGATAGGTGAGTTCTTTGTTCACACCCAATGTATAAATTATCCACATAACTCATTGAATGACTGACTGACTCGCTGGCCAGCTGGCTAATTGATTGATTGATTGATTATGTGCCATCAAGTTGGTGTTGATTCTTAGTGACAATGATCTTCTCCAGGATGATCTAACCCCAAATAGGATCTTCAGAACTCCCAATGGTGTACCTATTGCCACTATAATTGAGTCCATCCATCTTTCTGCTGAACATCAACTTCTATTTCCTCTTTTCCCAGGATTATGGGCTACTCAAGGGAGTCTTGGCATAGCACATTCACAATATCTAATTTATCCATATAAATTACATTTGTGCCTCAAGTAAGGATTCTACATTGAGTTTTTCTATGGTTCATTTGTTTGTTTCTTTTGCTATCTGTGATATTTTCAAGTGTCTTCTCCAACATCAAAATTCAAAAATGTCGATGCTCTTTTCATTCTACTTTTACACAGTTCAGTTTTGTGGAATATTGTACAATAGTCCTCATTCTGTTAAGTCTCCTTTCTCAGTTATTGTATATAGATTGACCTCTTCCAATCTGTTGCCAAGTATGTCAGTCGCCACATTTGCTGGCATAATTAAGTTAGAACCTTTACTGATTTTTCTTCCATTGCTTGCCATATTTTTATAGATATTCTATCAATTCCTTTAAACTTCCACCTTGTTAATGACTGGGATGCCAGTCTAACATCATCTTCTAGTGCTAGAGGTAAAAAGGAATATCTTCTAAGATATCTTGGATGTTGATATTTTTATGGTACAGAATTTCAGTAAACACCTTCCATCTTTGTTCAATCTAATTCAAAGCAATTACTATCTGTCCATTGGCATTCCTTAGTGTAGCAATTCCAAATTGGAACCTTCTCTCTGAGTTTGGAGGTCTTTTAGAAGACTTTCCTTGTTTTTCGATGTCTGTTTCCATCTTGAATGTCTTTACAGATGACATTGTAATACTGTTTCTTACCTCTTCTAACAGCACTCTGAAATTCTTGTTTTCCTTTTTAAGATTTTTGTCTTTCTTGGCTTTGGCTTCTCTTTTCTCCTTGGCAATTCCCATTGTCTGTTCTGACATGCTGTATGCTTTCTTCTGTTTCTTGATCTTTGGCAGTCTCTCATTCATCCTTAATAACTGCTTTGATTTCATTCCATAGTTCCTATCAATGAGGTTTCCTATCAATGAGGTTCAGGACTACAAAACAATTCCTGTTATTCTCCCTGAAAATGGTGAGTATCTAGTCAAGATCCTATCGTGGAAACTGTCTGGCTTTGTTCTACTACTTTATCTTGACTTGGAACATCCACATAGCTCTCAATTAGTCCTGACCACAACATTGCTATTATAAGTGAGCCTTATAAACAGGTATTTGTATAGTCCATCTGGTGACGTCCATGTTTGCAACCATTGTTTTGGTTGTTTCAAGAACTGTTAGCAATAAAGAAACAAATAAGTCAGACTGATAAGTCATTCTTCTACTTTTTTCTTTTCCTAGGCTATATAGTCCTATGTTTTCCTCCTTATTATTTCTAACTTTGGATTTCAGTCTCTCCAACCACAAAGAGACATCTTGCTTGCATATGTTCTGTTAATTCTAGCTTAAACTTGACATAAAATTCATCAACCACCTCTTCTTGGTTGATGGGGCATAAACTTGGATAAGCAATATATGCCGAATCTAATTGATACTATTTGGTCATTGACTGCATTGTACCATGTACTGTCTTTGTTATATCTTTTTGGACCATGAAAGCGGTGCTGATCCTTCTTTGTTTTTCACATCCTGAGTAATAAACAATATGGATTTCTGACTGAAAGTATCCAATTCCAATCCATTTCAATTAGTTCATACCTAAGATAACAGTCTCTTATAGAGGCATTTCATCTTCCATTGTGCAGAGTTTTCTCATGTTCAAGTTTCTTACATTCCACATTTCCACTGTGACTTCACAATTGCAACTTGATATTTTTCTGCATGCAACATCAGCAACTAGACATCCCTAAAGCTTTATTATAACTGCATAAGTACCGTTATTACTCTGAAAGATCCTCAGTTGTTCCTCAGTAATATGGTGAATGCCAGTCAACTTGAGGAGCCCATCATTTGGCACTATATTGTCAGTTACTTTATTTTGTATATCTGTATGGTTTTCCTGATCAAATACAGGAGTGGTTTATAATTGCCTTTTCTCATGGTGTTTGCAATGGATGCCTTTGAAATTGTTACTAAATAATCATTTGACTTCCTGCTTACTTTTACTAGTCAGATGGGATGATGTGCATAGCTTGGGTGACCCTGCTGGGAGTATATACTCTTGACATACATTCCTGCTGTTCTCTGCTTACCCCTTCCTGGAATATACACACACACATCTGCCACAATAAGGCAACATGGCAGGACTTAAGAGGCAGAGACATTTCCCGCTATGTATCAACTGTGTAATCTGGTGCCCTCAAGGGTAAGCTTGGTGATATTTCTGTCACTATGATCCCAATGCATTTCAATGGCACAAGGTTGGTAAGGCTGCTTAATTGACTAAATGACATGAAAAGGTATTCATTCTAATTATTTTAAATATTGTTGCAATTTAGATGCCATTGCATCTGTCCTCTGGAACATCTTACCCTCCCACCCCGAGTGGGGTCATCTCTGCCAGTTGGCTAGGGGCTCCAAAGGAGGGGTTTTCACATTGGGGGTGGCTGATAAATTAACAATACATTCCAGCCCCCTTCTCATTGTCAGCATTTCAACTAACAAACTCCAACCCAACAAACTCCAAGGCAAGCATTTTCTCAAAGTTCCATTTTATTAGAGTTGTCATATTGGCACATCTGGGAAAACCCGAATCTGAGAGTTCCAGGTTTTCCCTCCCAAAAGAAATTTAAAAATCCATTCCCCCGCACCCACCAGTCCATCACATTTTTTGAGTGTGGCAGCTGCTGGAGCAAATGTGAGTTTATCTTGTGTTGATTTTGCTTATCTGTGTTCCTGGCGTCTTCCCAACCGTGTTGATTTATTGCTGTGCTTTCACATCTGGAATTCTTGCTCCTGCCCTATCGGAATAATTACCTCATTTTGCCTTGATTGGACTTATAGTTACAGTTTTTGTTGACCACATTTTGGATTTGATTTTCTGCAGCCAAAGACTGTTCCTGGGGGAATTTTTCTCCAGCCAGAAGGTAACCAGGACATTGAGGGCAAGGTTGGAGCTAATAAAGGCTTTCCTACTGATTATCTGACTTTATGCCACTCCTTTGTGCCACACCCCGGGTCATCACAAGCAACATTGCAAGTAAAATTGTGAATAACAGTCTTAAAACCCTTCAGATATATTCTTCTCTGCAATCCTTATAACATTATGCAGAACAGGCCAGCTTTGTAATTCTTATTATTGTGGTTGGGAAGGTGAGAATAAGCAATAAAGATTTAATTAGGATCATCTTATGAATTCATTTGAGAGGCAAGATTCAAACCTGGAAAAATATGGTCTCGTTACTTTGGACCATAGAATATGATTCCAGGATTAGATCCTGCCTGTGACATGATAGACAGTCATTTCTTCTCCAAACAGCCAACAGATTAGGTGTAAATTTCTGGAGTCAGAGCAAATACAATAATTAACAGATAGGTTTTAATTATCTTTTTAGAAATTAAAAAAAAACCACTATATGTGTGTGGGCAGATTGCGATATTTTCTAGCTGCTTCCTCCCCCTCTTCCCTCCCCCTTCCCAAAGACATTAACTTCTTATACTCTCATTACAAAATTTTGAATGAATATTTTATTTGACTTTTAAAAGCCATCATCCTTTATTGGGAGAAATTATAATTGGTTTCTCAAATCCTGTCCTACATCTTGCACACAGCCTAGTAATTTATCAGTTGAAACAGAAATAATGTCACTGTGGCAAAATCTACAACACAGCACAGGGTTAAATTTCCCAGAATCAAGAACGTGCTGTGGGAAATTTTGTGCCCAGTTCCAATTACTCTTTTAAAGTAACTTTTTACATGTCCAATTAATTTTGATCTACACTCTACTTCTCCACCATTCCCACCCACCCCATACAGCATGTATTGCTCCCACAGGATTTTGAAAGGTTAGAACAGAGGCTAGTTGAAGTCTGAAGACCATATAAAGTTATTTATTTCCTTTTAAAAAAGAAAACCTCAAGAACTTCACAAAGGCAAAATAATATTGGAAAACTAGCAATAAAAATAGGCTCTAAAATATTTTTTTTAATACTGACGATATTTACACATATGTCCTTATTTTATGTTTTGTATGAATCATCTCAAAGTTCAGATGAGAAAATACTTATGAAAATTGTAGAAGGGGGTTCAAACCCTTGCAGGTATTGTCTGATCTCACAAAGCAGAAATACCATTTCAGTTTTGCTAGCAGGAGAGAACGCTTTTTAGGGAAGGACGTGGTTTATTCATCCTGCAACAGATTTGCATTTTTAAGGCTGTTTTATTATTCAGAAGAGACCAAGTTTAGAATGTTACTGATAGTTATTATCTCCTATTAACCTGATAAACATATAAAGGTATCCAGGGGCCAATGCAATTTTGAGACAATCTTGGGAACAATTGTTAAATAATAGGAATGATAAGCATTAAAATTTTTAATTGCACTATAAGACAGACAGACAGCATCATCTTATCCTAAGCACTCTAGGACTGTATATAGGTACTTCTTGACTTGTGACTACAATTTGAGCCCAAAATTTATGTTGTTAAGTGAGACATTTGTTAAGTGAGTTTTTCCCCATTTTACTACCCTTCTTGTTAAGTGAATCATTGCAGTAGATAAGTTAGTAACCCAGTTGTTAAATGAATTGGAGTTTGCTTGTCAGAAGGTCGCAAAAGGCAATCTCATGACCTTGGAAGACAGCAATGGTCATAAAAATGAATCAGTTTCCAGGCATCTGAATTTTGATCACATGATCATAGGGATGCTACAAAAGTCGTAACTGAAAAAACATTCCTAAGTCGCATTTTTCAGTGCTGTTGTAACTTTGAACAGTCACTAAATGAACTATTGAAAGCCGAGGACTACCTATACAGTAAGTAATTATTAAAAAAAATAAATGAGTCTCCCACTTCCCGGGTTTGGGACTGCTGACAGCAATAGACTCCTTTGGAGAATAAAAACCAAAACTAAAGTTCAAATGATATTTCATATCATTGAATACAGTTTTCAGGCCCTTGTAGGGAAAACAAAAACAAAATAAAACAGAACACTAGATCATATTTAAAAGGTAATGACCTCTGAGGATCAGAGGAATAACAAGGAAAAGAATTGTAGTAGTTGGTAGATATGTAATTTGATATGGACCAACTAGGCAGGCTGACTCATGAAATATGCTATCTTTTGAGAGCATGAATCAGAACAATTACAAAGATACTTCAAGATAATTTTAAGGTATCCCTTCCTGCTCTACCTTCTGGGGACAGACAATGTGAATTTCACCCATGTGAATTTCTATCACATCCTCTCTGACTTTAGAATGTTAGAAAGAAACCTGAATCAGTCAATTCATAGTTCCACATCATTACTCATTGGTTAAATTCAACTGGAGCCTAATTGTGGACACAACCCCATGTGAGGGTTCTTTGCTTTCCAAGGACTTGACGTACCATGACATAGCAAATCTGTACGTAAATGCTTTATTGCAATACACATCTTCCCCAGCAACAGGCTATTGCTCTGAATCAACATTCGAGACCAGATGATGTTGCCACAAAAATATGCATTTAATACTCAGTCCTTTGTACTCTGTCTTTCAATATTCAGTTCAAACAAAAATCTCAAATCCTACAAAGTAGCATATGTTTGCCTTTTTCCAAAAGTTCTTGTACTAGTTGGGATGAAGTGCTGTCTCAATGCGGCAATTCCTTTTCTAATAGCTACCAAGCTCTTGGCAAAATTCCAAGCTCCATGCAGGACTCCTACCAGAATGTCCTGCTCATCATAGCATGTGATTCAGGCAGTTGAATGAGTCCTGTTGCCTGCTTGTAACAGCTGCCAATCTCCAGACATTGCCTCCATTTCTCACCTTTGGAGATAACCACTTGTTAGGAATATGAGTCACCTAACAACTATTTGGGTTAGAAATATATAAACCAGGATAAACATTTTAAAACTGTATCTTTAAGAAAATGCAAAACTGTAATTAGGTGTGGTTTCTCAAACGGCCATAAGATGGAGCCAGAAACCTGGGTTGTCTTAGTCTGAGTCTCAGAAGAGAGTGTGAGTGTATTTCTGTTTCCTTCTGTTGGAAAGGATTGCCGTTCCTCCATTTTTCCTAACTGACTGATATTCCTGGATTTAATGTAAGTCTGTTACTGAACTTTTTTCTAACACTGGACTTTGTTATTGAATTATCCCTGGATTGAAAACTGACTGATTTAATGTGTGAATGACTTTGGACTGCCTATTTTGAACTTTGCTTAAACCTTTATTGAAAGTAAAACCCTACATTTACTGTACAGTGTATCTGTATGCTGTGTGTGTATTATTCAAACACTATTTTCTATATGTCTCCCTATATGCCATCATTCTCCTAACGGGGAATTACCTCAACACCACTCACTTTGCTCATCATTTTTCCTCCTACATCCATCCCACTCTCCACACTCTGTTTTTGGCATTTGCTTTTGTAAGCTAAAGGCTTGGGTTCAGTGAGCCTGCCTCTGGACATTACCACATTCTTGAAACAATCAAGGAGTGTTGTTCATTTATCACAAGCAGCTTGGGTGCTTGGGAGTAACCAGATTGGGTGCTTGGGAGTAACGAGTTATCTTATGAGTGAAGGTATGAATGCAAGAGAGAGGCCTTTCTGCATGAATGCAGCTAGTTTCCAAAAGAGCAAACAGCAACCCCAAGTTGACTCCCTCACAGGGAAGGAGAATTTGACAATGGGTAAAGGGTAAAGGGTAGCAAAGGGAATAAGGAGAATTATAAAGGGAGACTGTCGTAAAAGGAAAATATTTAGCCTTCATAAGACTATGGACAAATATGAATGTACTCCTCAAATACCTGAAGATATCATACAAAGATCTATTCATCATATTTATTTATTTCCAGAGAGAGACCTCCATCAGATCTGTCATATCAAAATATAGAACAAGAAATAATAGCTTAAAGTTACAGGAAGGTATATTCCAGTTAAATTTCAAAAATACTTCTTATAGTAAGAGCAATTTGACTGTAAGAGCTAAGAGACAGATTATGAATTCCTCTACATAGGAGGCATTCAAAAGAAATTGGACAGATCAGAGATGCTTTCATTTGAATTTCTGCACCAAGCAGGGGGTAAGACTTAACCGCATAAATGTTCCCATTATAACTCCATGTTGTTGTTGCAACATCTCAACCAGAGCACAACTACTTTGGGTGTCCTTGGGGAAAACTGTTGGATCAAAGTTTGAGACAAACATTCCCCTAAAACAATAAAATTTTAGCAAATTGTCAGCCTTTCCCGGTAGTGTTTTCAAGAAATTGCAATGCTGTTTCCTCTAAGCACCTCATCATTCTGAGCTGGTGACAAAGAAGCCTTCCAACTTTCCTGTTTCTGGGAAGGCTGTCACTAAAAAATAGCATTTGGTATCTGAAGCATTAGCTTCAAGGGATTCTGGTTGCTAAGAAATTCTGAAGTACCTCGGACCTCTTTCTCCCATTTGATTAGGTACATTGAGGGGCTAGCAATAAAAGTAATTTTTATTTCCGTTATAATCATGATATGTTAGTAGCTCACTGTTCATAGCAAACTGTTGAAGATTGCTTGCCTTCAGAAGTTGTGGGAGCTTCACCACTGGAAGCTTTCTAAAAGAGGCTGGACTGCCATCTGTCAGAAATGGTATAAGGTTTGCTCCTTAGGTGAGGGTTTGGTCTAGATCAGGGGTCTCCAACCTTAGCAACTTTACAACTTGTGGACTTCAACTCTAAGAATTCCTCAACCAGTGCACATCCACAAGTTGTAAAGTTGTCAAGGTTGGAGACCCCTGGTCTAAATGACCTAGAAAGTCCCTTCCAACTCTGTTATTCTGCTCAGATCTCAAATCTTCCTCCTTGCAGAAATCACGTGCAAATTCTGGATTAGTCTTCTCTGGATTAGTCTTCTCTCTTAATGGTTACAATCATGTAGTAATGCCAAACCCATTATTTCCCTGAACAGTGCTCCACATAAAACCTTTTTCTTTGTCCCCAATATCTCACAAATAGTTATTGGTGAGTATGTAGCCTTATTCTATAAGTCGCACTCTTGCCTGTCACTCTTGAAGTCAATCTGCACAACACAATCCCCATGTATCTTTGTGTGCTTTTAACCTTATGGCATTTCTCAATCCCATTCCTGATTCTCTTACTTTTTCTAGTGTATCGGCGGAAACACCAAGAGCTGCAAGCTGTGCAGATGGAGTTACAGAGCCCTGAGTACAAGCTGAGCAAGCTGCGCACTTCCACAATTATGACAGACTATAACCCCAATTACTGCTTTGCAGGAAAAACTACTTCCATTAGTGACCTCAAAGAGGTGCCCCGGAAAAATATTTCTTTGATAAGGTAAACCAATCTGCCTGGCTTCCTTATGTTCACATTTAGTCTGCTAGAAATGTGGGCACACCAGTTCACATGTGTGCACCTTTTGTTTACTCTCAAAAGTCTCAAATGGAGTGGAGAATATAGTTGAAATCTGAATTTCTAGTCTGATCTAGCAGTTCTTAAGATTGACAGTTAAATCTGTTTCCTGTGATTGATTGAAAAGGTCATCTTTTCTAGGAGTTGAAGTCCATTTATTTTAAAGACAGTGAGATTCAGAAACAGTTTCAGTTTAATACATTATTGGTAGCTGCAAGGTCATTTTGACTTGTAAACTTACAGGGTAATAATGCCTAATTGCTGGCATGCCATGCAGCCCTAATTCACTAAGAAAGCAAAACATCAACAACTGTACTCAAAACTTTAATCAAATGTCTAGAAAGTGTAATATAATTCAAGCACTGCTTCTAATGTTTTGTATCTACTCAGGAGGGGCATGAAAGACAAAGCAAAACCTTTACCACATGGCTTATTTGATTCTGGATAAAAAGCTTACATAATAAAATATATGTTTTTTTGACCAAACCCACACCTCACAGGGGATAAAAGTGGGTGTGTTTTCTCCTGAAACTTTGTACGGGAAAAAGTTTAACCTGACTTCAGCTTTTCTTCATGAATGACTATTTTTGTGGGCTGCCTTGTGATTTTCTGTGAGTAAGACTTTATCAGTTCGGACTTGGCAGGCAGGACATGTGGGAATGCCAAGAAATACTTCCTCACTAAAGATATCCTATGGAGACTGATTCTGACTACAGTTACTATTTTTTCCAGAGGCAGGTTAATGTTTTTTTCTCTGTCATTTTTACTATTTAATTTTCCACCTGAAGTTCCTAGTATTCCTATTTCCTAGGGCACAATCCAGATATTTATTGTTTAAATGTGCAGTTACCTTCTACCCAATCAGATCACTTGACTGTTTAGTTCATATTCTGGCAGCTAGAGACATGGACAGATTTTTTTTTTTCTCAGAAAACCTATTCAAGTCACTTTCTACTGACTTCAGCTCCCAGAATTCCTGAGCTAACAGGACTGGAGGAGGAAATCTGGGTGTTGAAGTCCACGTCTTAAAGCTGTCAAGTTTGAAGACCCCTGTGCTGGTGTCATATTCAGGACCCTTTCTCTGCCACTAAACTGGACTTCTTTCAAAGCAAGTCTCTTAAGCAAGTGAGAAGACTGGGAGAATTTATATTGGGAAAATATAGAAAGGAGCTTTTTAAAAAAATAACCCTCTTCAATACCGTCCCATTTAAACTACTCGGAAGATGCTATAAAGTTTTTTTTAATCTGGAAGGATTATATAACACACACACAAACACACACACACACATTGATACACATATACATATACATGGATATACAATGGGGGAGAATCACAGGTCAATGTCTTTCTTTTCAGGGTAACCTGGTAATGAAGACAGGTGCTATCCCGCTTTCTGCCAAATATTGTTAGTAAATGTCACATGATAGTACAAAATTGTAAAACTTCTGCCTGTTCCATTTGAACTGTGCTTAGCTTTCCATCCATCCAGGCCACTGACCTTAACATTGATCCTTCTTATTTTGCTCTACAGACACCATGCACAAAGTATGCTGATAGTTTTCTTAGGAAAAACCAACTACGGCACTTTTCACTTTGTGAGAAATTGCATTTTGAAAGTATGCAATATACTACCGTGTTTCTCTTATAATAAGGCCAGGTCTTTTTTTTTTTTTTGAGCCCCCCAAAAATGGCTAGGCTGTCTTTTCGGGGGTGACTTAATTCCCCCCCCCCCTTGCATCTTCAGGCAGGTGGCAACGGCTTGGATGTTGACCTTGGCATTGGTGGGGTACTTCGTATCGGGGTCAATGCAGGCAGCACCATATCCAGGTGTGCAACAAAAGTACTTCCTAACAGCAAGCCCCCCCACCATTCCCCCCATTTCACATGTTTTAATTTGGGGGGAGGGGCTTAATTTCATTTCATGCCTATAAAATATGCTGGGACTTCCTATTGGGGGAGGCCGTATTGTTGGAGAAACAGAATAGGAACAAAAGTATCACTATTTAAACATAAAACTAAATCAAACATTGAAAAGAACTGAAGAAGAAAGCCTCTTGATAACCTCATCATTCCACTATTGGGTATTGATTTTATAAGTTCTAGTTATAAAATTCTGCAAGATCAGCTTTTCAAGACAATGCTATGAGGCTCAGAAAAACCATCCTCTTCTTCCCTCTTTATATTAGTTTGTAGAATAAAAAATGAATTTCATTTTTTTTTAATGTTGTGTTTTCCCACAGTTGCTTTTCTTGGAAGGGGGTTATCTGTGATGTCCTCTTCTTTTCAGTTTCTTGCTGTTTCTTGCAGTTTTGAAGAGTGATTGTTATTCTCTCCTATCTGTATAAAACCAGCCAAATTTTACAATTTCTACACACATGGAAAGAACTCACTTTCCCCTTTAATACCCTATAAGCAGCCCTACATATTTTTTTAAAAAAATGCTTTTAAAAAGTTTGCAAATGTTTCAACTCAACAATCCCTCAACCATGTTATGCTTCTGAACCTATAACTACCTCTTGGGATTTGGTTGTTGCTGCATGTACAATATTTTTTTAACACTTTTATTAATTGAATCCTGAAATGAACAGTGACAGAAAATCTGTATAATGAGCACACGGGAGAATATATATAATAGAAAGGTGTATGATTTATTTATTAGGTTTTTTTTTCAATTTTCCTAAATAATTAACCCTCCAATCCTCTTTATGAAACTTGCGCAGTGTCTACAGCAGAGGTCTCCAAACTTGGCAACTTTAAGACTTGTAGATTTCAACTCCCAGAATTCTGGGAGTTGAAGTCCACAAGTCTTAAAGTTGTCAAGTTTGGGGACCCCTGGTCTACAGCAATAATGTTTAGGCCCAGATGTAATGAATCTTACATCTAATATAAAATTATTTCTTTCCAGTTTAAGGACATAAAAGGCTAATATTACAACCAGAGGACTGTAGTTAGCAATTGCAAGAGCAGTTGACAAAGAGATCAATATGGTCATTTGGATGGGTGACATCTGTCAGGAGAGACACAGGAGGGATTTGATTTGATTCATGTTTCTGTGCCACTCAGCATTATTTTTAACACAAGCAACTGTAGTTTCGTTCTGAATATCTGGGATGAGAATTAGTGGCACCAGATGAAATGACCGCATAATACAGTTTCCATCTGATCCAAGCTTCTTTCATACCTTCCCCTTAATCCTTAATATGAATGCCATATTAAGGATCAAGGCTGAACAGAAGATAACATTTTGAGACATCTCTTTGCCCTTGTTGCTATTATCCTATAAAGTCCCTCCTATTTGGCTCCATCTTCTTTTCAAGATCTCCTTGAAGCTGGTGAGGTTCAAACTGAAGTTAAACATGTAGCAACAGCAATAGCATTTAGGTCTGCTTTACAGTACTATCTGGGTGGCTTACATGAAAAGGCTTTATTTTCAGACCCTCATTTTGCTCACCACAAAAGGATGGAAGGCTGAGTCAACCTTGAGCTCTGTCAGGATTGAACCCCAGACTTTGGGCAAAGCATGCCTGCAATCCTACACATAACCACTTAACCACTGCACCACCAGGGCTCCTGCATATAGGATGCAGATGGCCTGTTTCCTTTTTTTAATTCTAAATAAGCAGAGTAACAATCAACATAGACATTGTCTACAATGCAAAGAAAGATTTTAATGCTTCTAATCAGCTGCTTGCTTCCTGAAAACTAACCCTGTACATGGAGGTAGAGTGGAGTTTCCATTGGTGCCAACATTAATAAGATCAACTGCATTCTACTTATTTATTATATTGTTGAAATGGTTTCTGGATGGCACTACTGAAGAGAGATGTTGCCATGAAGCAATCACAATGTACATACTATAAAAAGAATCAGGTTTTAGACATCACAAGATTTAGGGGTGGGATGGTTGAATTTCTGACATTGCTTGCTGGTTTGTTTTTCTTAGTGCAAAAAAAAAATAGCACACCTATCTCTTTTGGAAACTATGGCATTCTAGTACTCCTTGTCCCACCTAATTCACTGGAGGCAGTAAAAAATAATGAACTAGAACTGGAATGTAATTATTGACTATGTGAGAGCCAATAAATTGGTGCTAACAGTTCCACAATATTTTTAGGCATTTCTAAGAGTGCCTTCTAATCAGCCTTGGCTGGCATGCCAACTTGCATTTGTAATGTAGTTTTTATTACCCTGATTTGCTAATTTCTAATTTTTAGAATAACACACTATACAGTAATATATTATCCATGAGGCTTCTTTTTACAGATAATATGAAAACTGCAGTTATTTCAGATAACTGGGAAATAGGCAGTTCTCCTCTGTTTAAATATATGCGCTGTCTTGATTCCTGCTTATTTCAGGATCCAGAATATGGGTTCTTATCTTTCAAGGTCTGTATAACTTGAAAGAATAAGAAGATCTAGTATTTCAGTGGGAAAAGATTCTAACATAGTTGATATCCTGCTGTGCTTGGATTTTTTTTTTAACCTGCAATGATGCCTTTTCTTCATAGAATATTTAAACATTGAACTCCCTTACAGGCATGTGAATGAAATCCGTTCTAGCATAGAAAACCATGACTGAATCTCCTCTGTTTTAAACCTAAAAAAATGCAAACCTATGTATTTGGTACTTGATAAGAGTTACAGGAATCTTGTTCTCTAATATCAAAAATTGTTGTTCTTTTGTGTATAACAGCTGCTGGTATTACAAATGAAAGAAGAAAGACTGGCAGTGGTATGACTATGTGGGCGTAGTGAAATTGACTCCTATTTTTAAAAAATATCTCTTAGAGTAGTTCTTTTTTTAATATTTCCCTTGAGTAGCTCCTACATTGGATAGTAAGACTGCATTAAGAAATCTCTCACTATTTACATAATAGTTCAATGCAGTTAATAAAACACCAAGACGTTTCTATTTGAACATTCTAGTATATACAGTATTTAAGAATATATATTGTAAGAATTGTGCCTTTGGGTTATGTTAAAATCATCTTCCCTCTTCTGGTTTTGTCAGGGGTCTAGGCCATGGAGCTTTTGGGGAAGTATATGAAGGCCAGGTGATTGGGATCCCCACTGACCCCACTCCTCTTCAAGTGGCTGTAAAAGTAAGTTTCAGTGAGACAAATCTGCCTCATGGGACATGTCACATAAGGAAAGGGCTACGGTTGAGTTCATTTTCTACTTTTTCTGAGTGGAAAAATGGTGAATGTATTCCTGATTATAGACATTGGAGGTATTAAGAATCCAAAACTGCCACTCAGATTATTATTGCTGAAGTTCATAAAAGTTATTAATTTCAATTCATTGGCGTGTTTTTGAAACTCTGGTTCTTTCAAATATTACTGATACCAAGCAGGAAATACTTGGATTATGTTCCCTTCTCTCCAAAAGTATTGTCATTATGACTCTGATAACTTCTATATCAGTGGCTATTGTCCATGCTAGTTGGAAATTATGACCATTTAATCTAGCACCTATACAACTATCCATTTGGGAAGTTAGTTCAGACTTTTGCTATTTAACATCCTTATCCTGTCACAGTTCACCCCTCTATGTTGTTGTTGATGTGCTAACTGAAAGCTAAAGTTTTCTCAAAATAGTTGAGTGATGGAAGAAAATGTTTGTGGTTATTATTGTCTGAGACATATGTATTAAATCCAGTGTTTTTTTTTCTGATAACATGTCATCTTTCTCAACTTGGACTCTGCAAATAGTGTTGAACTACATTTCTCATCGTTCCACCCAGAAAGCTAAATAGTTGAGTTTCTTATATGGAGTTTCTCTAGAGAATTTCTAATAGGGAGTTTCTAAAGATTTAGGTATCTTTTAAATGGCTTAGAATAGTCTTTGGAAAGTTGATATCTAAAACACTTTCCACATGAAAGAAATTTCACTTTCCCTCTCTTCTTTCTTGACTAGACATTGCCAGAGGTTTGCTCAGAGCAAGATGAGTTGGATTTCCTAATGGAAGCTCTTATAATAAGGTGTGTTAATTCAAATTGGTTGCCTGCTTTTCTACTTCAAATGCATATCTACCAGTATTAAAAGCACTGGTCATTTTTACTCTCCAGCTTTTATACAGATGAATCACATATAAATGAAGTAAAATTGTCCAAAGCAATTGCATTTCCCTTATTTTCTTCAAACTTCACAATTTGCTTATAAAATAATCTTCTGTCAGTACTATCATTCATAAGAGATGGGATTAGTTTAAAATCACCACAGAAGACAGATAAATTTAGGATTATCTCCTAAATATAACACTGAGGTTATCTTAAAAATCTCAGATTTTCTGGTTTGTTAAAGAGTCTCTTAAAATTATAAGAATACTTGAAATTCACAGAGTAGTAAAGAATAACATTTTAGTGAATGTTGGCTTGCAATATTCTTCTATACTCCAATCTAACAGCAGTTTTCTCTTGACCACCATACTGCATTGATCTGGCTTAACAGAAATGTTGATCTGTAATTCTATAATGTCCACTGAGAGCCAAATGTGATAGGCACTAAAGTCCAATGCACCAGGACAGCAAGAGAGCTAAAAAGTGTGTTGAGGGGGGGGCTTGGTTAGATAAACAAATCACAAGGCTCAATCTGTGTCTTTTGCATTTAAAGCCTTTTCCCCTCAATCTTCCTTGCAGCAAGTTCAATCACCAGAATATTGTACGCTGCATTGGAGTGAGCTTACAGGCTCTGCCTCGCTTTATCTTGCTGGAGCTTATGGCTGGAGGAGACTTGAAATCTTTCCTGAGGGAGACACGGCCAAAGCCGGTAAGAAAAAAAAAAATAGTTCAGTGTAGTCTCAGCTTCCAGCTCACCTTGAAAGTTTTGCCTAACTTAAATGTAGCCTAGTTCTTTTTGCTAATGTTCCATATTTGCTTTTAAAAGCTGCAGTGTTACAAGGATTTTTAGTACTTTGACCGATTAAATTGAGCAGGTCTTATGTTGCTGATTAGGGAACTGAACAATAGATTGATTAAGTGAACAACTCACCAGCAGTTACTTTGAAGGAAAGTTGATTTAGCATATATTTAGGAGCAATGTTTCACACTTAAAGTGAACCAACTCTAGCACCGCTACTGATTCAAAGAGTAGCCTGCACTAAAAGAGAAGGCACCATTACTCCTCTATAAGGGCAACACTATATAATTCCAGGGACTATTCTTCGCTTGTGCAACTCTACCAAAATTCTACCCAGCTTGTGGGGCAAATTCAGCCTTCACAAAGGGAATTCTGGGAAGTAATGATCTGGAGAGCAGTAGGTTAGTGAAGGTTATTATATCAGTTGACTCAATTAGGCATTGTTTTCATGTTTTCCAAGTAGGACAAAAGACTACTTAGAGAGGACCACCACTGGTGAATCCAAAGAAATAATCCTCTGTACCTTGAACATTCAAGGTATATAGGATTACTTCTCATGCATAAACAGCATTGCTGAAATAAAATCAAGAAGATATAATTCCCTTATTATGGTTGAAGTGTCATATCACCATTTTTGTTGCTGTTCCCTCACCTCCACTGAAAAATGTACTATAAGATGCCAAGCTATCTAAAGATTTGTTGTTCGTTTTAACAACATAGTAGCATGAGATTTTAAAGCTGTTATACTCTAGACCAGGGGTGTGAAACTGGCGGCCCATGAGCCAGATGCGTCACACACAGGCCACATCCACCCCAGCTCCACGAAGGGGAAAAATGTCGTGAAATGTCATGTGATGGCAATGTAGTGCCATGAGTTTGACACCCATGCTGTACAGAGTCTTTTCTACTAGTGACCAGCACCTTCTACATATAAGTAATTTGGGTTTTCCATGGAAAATTAACTCTTCCAGAAGCCTTTGAAGAATTATACCATTGGTTAATTGTGTTGCTGCTGTTGCTGCTGTTAATGATAGTGGTGATATTTTTATTTTATTCAATATTACTTTGTACATTATGTTGTGGGGTGTGTGTGTGTGTGTGTGTGTGTGTGTACCATTGACGTTTTATTATAGCATATGCTATGTGGTTAAATCTGTGGCATAGCCTCTCCTTGAAAATTCAGGGTAAAGGAGCAAACACAACTTCTGTAGGTAATTAGTTTCCATGTCTAACATTCAATTGGACTCGGCTTCCTGTAACTTAAATCCACTGTTTTGTGTCCTGCACTTTTGGTGATAAAGAAGAGGTCTTGACCTTCTCTGCATCATCCTCTCAGATATTGAAGTGTGCTATTACATACAGCTCAGTCATTTCTTCCTCAAGGCTAAAAATTCTCAGTTCTTTTAGCTTCATAGTTTCTAGTTTTTCTAGGCATTCTAGTTGACAAGAGGGGAAAAAACAAGAAAACATACTCATTTCATTGTGAATGAAACATTTTTTTAAACAATCACTTTCACATCAAACTTAGCCTATGAACAAGAAAAGCAGAAAAAATGAATTCCCATGCACATGAGTTTAAATGCAAACATAAAACCAGAGAGACAGATCTATGAACATCTTTTAAGACATAGACTACAACAGGCAACCTTTCTGCAACTGTTGAATGCAATTTTCCACTAAGGCAGGGGTGTCAAACTCACATCACAGTGGCATCACGTGATGTATTGGGTCTTTTTTCCCCTTCACAAAACCCATCATGGCCGTGGCCAGCATGTGACGCCTCCGGCCTACAGGCTGGGAGTTTGACAACCCTGCACTAAGGAATGTGGCAGCAGTGCAGTGATATCACCACAGAAGACCGAATTCCTTGGAAGAGGAGAGGTAGCCAAGAGTCTGCAACCAGAAACAGAGATCAGAAAATGTCTACAGGAGCTAGGGAGATTTTTCAAGGGAGCTGAGAGAGAGGAGAACAAGAGAATAGGACACTGAAATAATCACATCATTAAACCTAAATTAATAATCATTACAAATCCAGAGAGGTGAATGTGTGATGTTTGTGTAGATCACATGATGCCCCTGGTGTGAAGGTTGCTCACATTAAGCATCATCTAGATAAGCTGCTGGATAATGCACAGAAAGCAGTGGTAATGGTCCACATTGGCTCCATGATATTAGAACAGGGGTGTAAAACTGGCAGCCCATGGGACGGATGCATCATGCACAGGCTACATCCATCCCAGCTCTGCAAATGGGAAAAACGTCACAAAAGTCACATGACAGCAACATGACGCAGCGAGTTTGACACCCATGCATTAAAAAATTGATGTGTCTTGGAATGATAATACCAGGCAGAGAGGCACTGGGTTAGGCACTGGGAAACTTTTTGGCACAAACCAAATCTTTAAAAGAGACATACTTCCACATGAACCAAAATAAAACCAAACTGCTCATACAGTAACATCAGAAAGATACTAAAGCAGATTTTAAAAATATCTCTGGGGAAAGGTTAACAGATGATGGATAAGATCTAGTTCAAAAAGGTGGAGATGTTTCAGAAAACACTTTAAAGGTGCAGAAACATAAGTTAATGGGTGGATATGACAGGAGATGAAAAGAAGACCAAAAGGATCATAGCACATTTGAAAAAGAACATGGTATATAGGTGTCCACATCAGAGGTGGTATTCAGCAGGTTCTGACCAGTTCTGGAGAACTGGTAGCAGAAATTTTGAGTAGTTCGGAGAACCGGCAAATACCACCTCTGACTGAAGATTTTACAGTATCCTTCCCCTGCCACGCCCCCCAAGCCACGCCCACAGAACTGGTAGTAAAAAAAAATTGAATCCTACCACTGGTCCACATCAATGCTGGAAGCCTCTGAAGCAAAGTCAAATGATGTATTGTTAAGAAAAAGTACTGGTTAAGATGCTCATATGTAAAGCTAGAATTAGAATGTTGATATATGAGCATTGGCATTGTTTTACTTTTAGGCAATTGGGAGCTTTTTTAAAAAAAACAAATAAACTTTTGACACCTATTTTTCCTTCCATTTAATCATGTCCAATTTTTGAAGACTACATGGAGAAACCTCTTAGCAAAGGTTTTGCAGAAATGGTTTGCCATTGCGTCCTTCCTAGGGCTAAGATAAAGTGACTGGCCCAAGGTCATCCAACTGATTTCGTGCCGAGGCAGGACTATAACTTATAGTCTCCCAGTTTACAGCATAATGCCTTGCCCACTGCACTACCCTTTATTATACAGAACATATAATTTCCCTTTAAACAAATATTTTCCTTCTAAATGCTGGAGGCACCATTTTCAATAGCTCTTATGGCTACAAAAGAAGCTGAATGCTGCCTATTATGATAAACTGAAAACTACTCAAACCATACTCTATTTGGTTTGGTTTGGTTTGGTTAGCTAGACTTACTATTTTTCTTTCAACTCCTCCAAGTCCATTTCAATTTAATTCAGAAAGTTTTTAATGGTAAGGTCTTATTGCTGCAAGAATATGATGCTAATAGAGGTAGAAATACAAGACTATTCATATCTTCAGAACTGAAATGAGCAGAAGCTCAGAACATAAAACTATTTCTTAAGCAGTTAAAAGCTTTTTGTGCATTAGAAAAGCAATTGGGAGAAGTTTGGGGGAAGAAAAGCATTAATTTCTCTCCATTGTATCATACAGCTTGGTGCTCAGAGCGGTGATTATGCTGAACAATGGAATCAATTTGTTTTGCAGTCACCTTTTACAAAGTTTGACCTAACAAGGGAAGGTGTTACTTTAACTCTTCCCAACCTGATCCTGCAAATGGCAGCTACATCCTTTCTAGCTGGCTGCCTCATTCTTTCATCTGGGTGAAGAGCAGCCAAGAACCGGAAAATGAATTTCCTCAGCATTTCAAGGCTACCACTGCACTCTGCCTCTCTCTACAAAATGGGTGCAAACGCTTCACATCTCAAACAAATTACTCTGTTAAATTGCCCTTGGTGGAGAAAGAGCTTCTACTTCAACAGACATAAAATAAAAGGCAGTACAAGAGGTTTTCTGTTTCCATTAATCCAAACTGTGACAAAAGCTTTGCATGACATTTTTACATAAAAGGTATATAGTCTATTTTCCATCATCCCCAATCCCCAAAGGTCAACTGTGCTTCCTCATCATGGCACGGGAAGGGGGTGTCCCTGGGAGGGATGAGTAAAGAACATCCGGAGAGTATGTCAAATGTATATTTCTCAGCAAGGTCACCCGAAGCATCAAGGTCATCCCATCTTCCCAGTTAAAACAAGTAGGTACCTATACTGGACAGTAGCATATAGAAAGATTCAGGAGGTAGATGATCACTTTGGTGACAATGGAAAGGCATCAAATCATACCGCATAGGTAAAAGCCATGGTGAACCACTCCTACACTTTTAACCAAGGAAACTGCAGTGATAGAAAATATAAAACAATTGACTATACAGTATCAAAGTAGGTGGAGGGGAGGCAGGTCAGATGGCACTCAACATGCTACTGAGGAAGAGCTGAGGTTCTTTTAAAATACTAATGGTGTTTATGACATAGCTGGATTAAAGCCTTTCACATGTCTAGTTCTTGATGTGGCCATACAGAAGATGAAAATCCAAAGCATCTCTTTTTGAAGATGGAACAATTTCACAAGCAATAAATAAAGTTACCTTATATTTTTACCCAGTAAAAAGAAAGAAAATGCAAAAAGTGTTTTTTTTAGCTGCTTTAACTAGTCAATGATACACCAGATGGGAGCAAAGGAGAAAAAAATATAGAGATATTCAAAACAGAAACAATGTTTTCAAAAGGATCTCTCTCCCTCCTTCCCTCCCTCCCTCTCTCTCTCTCTCTCTCTCAAAAAAAGGGATAGTGCAAGATTGGAGCAGATAACAAATGAGGATAGATTTTCTCCTAATATAAGGAACTTGCCACAAGATGTATCAAACATAGAGTAACTGAACTTTCAGAACAATAATAGATATACTGCAATGGACACTCCAAACATCTTAAAAACACATTGAAGATAAATATCCCTAGTACAATACTAAGTAGACATTTACTCAGGGGTGGGATTCTACCAGTTCGCATCTATTCGCTAGAACAGGTTGTTAACATTCTAAACAGTTTGGAGAACCGGTTGTTAAAAGAAATTACTGGCCTAATCCTGTAAGGAAGGCAGGAAGGAAACATTCTGGTGTTGCTTACAGAAACTGCCTCTCCATTAACCCTTATTACATTCTTGGCAGGACTAGACTTCCTGTCTCAGGAATGTCTCTGGAGTTTTTTTTCCCCTCCTTTGCTGGTACTTTGCTTGTGTGGAGTGACCATTTAAAGTTACAATGGCACTGAAAAAAGTGACTTATGACCATTTTTCACACTTACAACTGTTGCAGCATCCCCACAGTCATGAGAGGCCAGGGGAAGAGATGCGTGCCTCGATGTGAGTGATATTGAGTCAGCCACACCCAGCCAATAACATGACCACCAAGCCATGACCACCCAGTCACATGACCACCAAGCCACTCCCACCACCTAAGCCACACCCACAGAACTGGTTGTTAAAAATTTGAATCCCACCCCTGCATTTACTACTTGTTGAATCAGAACTCCCTGCATGATTGACTTTTTCTTAGACTTGTTCTTTGGTTTTCTACAAATTCTTAACCTTTAATTGGGGGTGAGGGTTGCTTTTAAAGCTTACTCCTTTAGCTCCTCTGGGGATTCTTTTCTCCGAGTGGTTTTTTTTTTTTTTTTTTTAAGATAGGTATTTTTCTTTTTAGCAGAAGTAGGGAAGGGAATAGGAGTAGCTTTGCAGAGGGAGATGGGCAGCATATAAATTTACTCTATAAATACATGAACTGGAGCATTTCACACTCTGATGTATTAGCCATTTAGGATAAGAATCAACAATCTGGAGCCTTCCGTGAACATGAACGTGGATGTGCTTATCTGAAAATTTTCTATAATCCTGAAATACTTACATTATTTGACCCTTTACTTTCTCATTCATTCTTAGTTCTATCAGACTGGCAGAGATTGTTTTATTGCAATATTTTCCTGCATGTGGTTTTTCAGGTTTCCTAAAAAGAACTGCCTAGTAATTATTTAACTCCATGCTGGATTTGCAAATGTAAATGTTTTGCAAAAGAACATAGAGACATCATGTTTCTGCTTGGAAAATAATGAGGACTTAGGAAATCCGTTGGAAAAAAACTAAAATAAATAAATATAAATATAAAAATGTAAAAAATAAAATTCCTAAAAGGAATTGGGGGAGATGCAAGTGTTTTGGTACCATAAAATAGGGCGAGACTGGCTCAATTGTACTGGTATTTTTCCAATGAAAAATATTTTTTGTTTATAATCTCCTCTGCCCCTGGACTATCAAAATCTAGAAATGCTGTTTATCATGCCAGAAATAATTTCCCTGGTGGTCTCTATTGGTCTATATCTGTACAGGATCTGATTTGAAGAAAATCTGTCTTTCAAAACAGGCAGATCATTCTGTCAAATAATTTCCTGGGTTCTTGAAATGTGGGGGAAATATTTGAGAACTGTTCTTTTTTATTATATAGTTTCATGCTTCCTCTTCAGAAATTTAGGTTCTGTAGTAAAATTTTAAAAAAAATGGTGGAAGGGAAGCTCATTTGAGCACTAGAAATTAACACTGATGATGCACTACCATATATTTAGTTGGGAATGACTTCAAAGATTGTTCAGTCAAGCTTCTGCTGATTAGAAAATTTGTCCCTTTATTCATGCTTGCTTTGCATAGAATTGTTTATAAGCAACAAAGAAAGAAGAGACAATGGGATGCCCAGAAAACAAGAGGATAGTCCCTTTGAAATGCAGGGATCAAGACCTTAGGAAGAAGCATTTAGAATTGCTAAAATGTGCTGGAGGAGGAGGGGGAATATATACACTTTTGAATTGTTTAGCAATAACTAATTCTAACAGATTCTGAGATTGCCCATTAAAAAAAAGTTTCTTGTAAGCCCTTTAAATGAATTCATGCTCCTGAAATAATTCTTTGATTCTTCCTTTTAGACCCATCCCTCCTCGCTAACCATGCTGGATTTGCTCCACGTAGCTCGTGACATTGCTTGTGGTTGTCAGTATTTGGAAGAAAATCACTTCATTCACAGGTCAGTAGGAAAAGCTGTTATTACAGAAGGACCATTCTCTCTCTCTCTCTCTCTCTCTCTCTCTCCCTCTCCCCCCCTTTCTCTCTGGGGGGGTCATGTGGCTGACTTGCATCAGGTTAGTATACAAGCCACTGACAACAATGGTTGTGTACTACCACCCTCTAGAGGTCTGTTGTTTTGAACATAAAAAGAAGAAAGAACTGAGGCATTGTGGTTTTTTTTTAATTTCTTGAACAGATTTATATTCTGCCTTTTCTTCAGGACCTCAAAATGTCCTAGATATAAATTATTATTTTTCAAAGCAAGTTTGAAGTTTTCTACTTCTGGATTTTCTAGTTTGGCTTTCCTATTTGGAAAATGAGTGTGCTCAATTGTTTTAACAATAATAGTTTTATTATTAGCTTTCCAGTAAGTTAACAGCTGGTCTGTCTAGGTTACCACATGAATTTAATTTTATTAATCATTTTTTAAACAGTCAATGTTCTTTCTCTAGAGACATTGCTGCTCGAAATTGCCTCCTTACATGTAAAGGTCCTGGAAGAATAGCTAAAATTGGAGACTTTGGGATGGCCAGGGACATATATAGGTGAGAAATATTAGCTATTATTTCTTATTATAACTTCTATAAAGGAATATATAACATTCCTTTATATAATTCTCTCTCTCTCTCTCTCTCTCTCTCTCTCTCTCTCTCTCTCTCTC